GAGAATTCCTCCCCCACCCCCCACCAGGGGAGACTGCCCCTACCTTGCAGGGTGTGGGGCAAGGTGTCTAAATACCAGCACGGCCTTCAATGCCAGGCCTCCTGTCCATGGCCGCTGCTCTGCTGCAGGCCAAGCGCAGCGGCCCCGTCCCACGGCGCGGCGGCCTGCGGGCCGGGTGCCGCCGGTAGGCCGAAGCCGTGCGTGGGAAGCAGGTCCTGCCCCACCTGCGGCGAGCCGTGCCGCAGGCCGTGCCCAATCTGCGGCGAGCTGTGGCGCAGGGACACACCCGCCCCGCCCCAGAAGTCGGCGGCGGCGGGGTCGAGGCGGCCGCCGGGCCCGGGCCCGCCGCCGTAGCGCAGCGCGGGGGGCGCGGAGGGGCGCTGCAGCGCGGCGCACTCGCTCGACGCCCGCCCCAGCGCGCCCAGGTCCCCGGGCAGGCTCCCTGCGCCGCCCAGCCGGGACTGCAGTGCGCGTAGCTGCTGCAGCACCGCCAGGCTGTCGCCCGGCGCGGGCGTGCCGCCGGCGCCGGCGTCCTCGCGCAGCGAGAGCATGGCCGCCAGCGCGGCCAGCGCCTGCGGGTCGCCGCTGGGCGCGCCGGCGGAGCCGGACAGGCGCGGCGTGGGCACGCTGCCGGAGCCCTGCGTGGAGGGGGGCGGCGTGCCGTCCAGCATGCGCGCCAGCCCCGCCACCTGGTCCGGGGAGAAGGGCAGGTGGTGGTGGTGTTGAAGGGCGGGGGCCGACTGGGCGAGCAGCGGCGCGCTGAGTCGCGCGGAGCGCGGCGCGGGGCCGGCCGGCAGCCCCTGGTGCTCCAGGTATGGCAGCAGGGGCGGGGCCCCGGCGCCGGCGCCGTGCGCGCGCCAGAGCGCGTCGTGGCCGCCGCCGGCGGCGGCCACCGCCGCCGCGGCGTGCATGTCGTACAGGCTGGCGGCGGCGCCGGCGGCCAGCAGGCCCTTCAGCCCGGCGTCAGCGCCGGGCGCGGAGATGGCGGGGCCGGGGAGGGGGGACGCACGCGCCCCGGCGCCCACCAGCGGCTCCTGCTGGTAGCGCATGACCAGGGGTTTGAGGCCTGTCAGCGCGGGCACCACCACGCCGTCCAGGGCCGCCATGGCGCTGGCCGCGCCGGCCATGTCGCCAAAGTTGACAAAGGCGTAGGCCTTGAGGGGGAAGACGCGCACCGAGTCCACGCGGCCATAGGGCGAGAAGAGGTCCACCAGGGCCTGGTCGGAGGGGCGCTGGTTGATGTTGCCCAGCCAGAGGTGGCGCGACGCGGACAGCGGCCCGCGCGCAGAATCGCCCGGCGCGGCCAAGCCCTCGCGCTCCCCCGGCGTCTCACCCGCCGGCTTGTACCGCATCTTCAGCTGCTTGCCCCCGGACAGCGCGGGCACCACCTGGAGCATGGGATGGGGGGGGGGGGGTGGAGGCAGGGGTGGGGGGGGGCGGGGAGGGCGCGAGGGGGGGGGGAAGGCATGAGGAGACCAGGCAACCCTGCCCAGATGCGCAAGGACGAGATGCTGGAGGAGGAGAGCAGGGCAACCCTGTGCTCGGCATCCACTCCCCTGGTGCGCCAGCAAGCGTGCAGACGGCGAGCACACCACGACCTGGATGATACCGCCCCTCATTCACCTCCACACCCACGCCACTGCCCAGCCCGTGGGACCGATGGGCCTCCCAGGCCCTTTTGAGGCATTGCCCGCCGAGTCATCATCATCGCAGGCAACAGAACGAGACCACGACATGCCGCACCCTCCGGGCCCTCCCATGCACGCACCGTGTTGTTCAAGGCGTTGAAGGCCGCCACGGCGTCAGCGAGGCGCTCAAACTTGACAAAGGCGTAGCCCAGCGGCCCGATGCGGGCGGGGAAGACGGCGGCGTCGAGCAGGGGGCCGAAGCGCGCCAGCACGCCTTGGAGCGCCTTGGAGGTGGTGGCGGAGGTGATGTTGCCCAGCCAGATGCGGGGGCTGGGCTCCTGAGACCCGGCCTTGTCGGCGCCGGACCTGCACAGGAAGGCGTGAAGGCGTGTGTGCCAGCACGGGTGCACGGGCGCGACTGTACCATCGGCAGGCTTCACACACACCGCCCGCGGGGACGGCTTGGTCTTCACAGACCAGGCAGCTGGTGCGTGGCCGAGGTTGTGCGGTGCCGAGCCCCTCCGGGGGTCCAGGCAGGGGCCCAAGGTCAGGGCAGTCGCGAGGGCTGAGGGCCCCGCGTGGGAACATCCGCGTGCTGGACGGCGGGCACCTCTGCTGGGCCCCAAGGGGACTTGCACCCCGGGCTCCCCTTGGCACGAACCACCCGCTTCCCCCTTCCACAGTGAACCCCAACCCCACACACCTGTCGTCCAGGTTGTCGCTGAGCACACCCTCCTCGCCCAGGCCGAGAGCCCTCAGCTTGGCCCCGGCCTTGTTGACGGGGCGGTACTTGAGCAGGAGCTGCCTGTCGCCCGTGAGCTCGGGGATCTGTGATGGCGGAGGGCGGGGGGAGGGTGTTTGGATGGGCCTACAAGCAGCAGCCATCAGGAAGCGACGGGGCTCAGTGGAGACCCCCAGGAAGAGCTTGGCGCCTGGAGCCTGGGCGTCGCACAGGGATCCGCCCCCCTCCTCTTCCACCCCAGCCTCACCACCAGCCCCTGCAGCGTGTCCATCGCCGCTACAGCCTCTTCCGTGGTCCTGAAGTTGACAAACGCATACATCCTGCCTGGGAAGGTCACCACATCGTCCACGACCCCAAACCTGGAGAGCGGGATGGCATGAGGAGAGGGGGGGTTGGAGGGAGGGAGGGGGTGCCGCGAGGCCTGCATAGGCCAGTCGGAGCCCATCCCAACCCAAGCAACACCAAGCAACACCCAGCACGGGCCCCTTTTCCCCTCCCATCCGCAGCACACACTTGTCAAAAACTGTCTTCAGGACGGCTCTCGAAATGTGTGTGCTCAGGTTGCCTATCCAGAAGTGTCGGGTCGGGTTGCCGGACTCCACGGCATCATCGCCCGGATCGGTGTCCATCGCCGGCCCGTCCGCGTCCGAGGCCTGCTCCTCCGAGGAAGGCTCCTCCTGGCTGTGGGCGGTGCCGTTCCGGAGGCAGCCAGGGCCGGGGGAGGCATCCGCGGGTGCCACGGGCCAGAGACCCTTGGAGTCGCTGGGCCGGGGACCTCGAGGGGTCCCGCCGGCTGAGGGGAGCCTAGGACTCGTGTATGACGCGGAGAGGCTGCGCATGGACAGGGTGGAGAAGGGGGATGGCCTGACACCAAGGCAGGCTTCCTCGCCGACGACTGTGGCAGGAGCTTCGCCGCTGCCGTACTGTTCCGAGCTGGACTGGCTGCTCTGCAGTGTTGATACATCCGTTTCTTCTTGGAAAGGGCCCTGGGGTGTGTGGTGGAAGGCACGAGTGGAGGAGGGGACGGGCAGGGGGCGGGGGGAACCCCGGAGTCCGGGCACGCGGTCCTCCACCTGCTTGGTCCGAATGATCGTGGCGCAGGGCGACGAGCCCACCATCTGTCCGACAGGCCGCGAAAGACAACGTCCCAGACCCCAGAAACATCTCACCGGCATATCAAGGTAATTTACGAGCGCCGACGCCTTGCTGCGGCACTGGACTCGGCCTGGATGGCTGGCTTTGCCGTGCCGAGGGCTGCGCCGCTCGCGACCGTCGACACTCTTGCGGGATGGAGGGGGATCTCACAGCTTGTCGCACGATCCCAACCGGATGAGCTTCATTTCAAAGCTCCGTCCCTCGACTTGCGCGGTGCTGCCCTCCTGTACATACACAGGCAGGATCAGAGATGCCAGGTTTCACAGCAGGCTCAAGCCGCGAGGCACGTGTGCGCGGAGGGGGGCGTCCGGGGGCTGGAGCGCCGGACGTTATCCCGAATGTCTGTCTCAGGTGTCCAACTGCCCTGAGCTGGGTCCGGCCGCTCCAAATTATGCACGGCAAAAATTGGTCGAGTATCGGTGGAACCCATTGCAGCCATAAAAGATTGCGCCCGGGTCGAACTGATTTCCCGTATCTCAGGGCAGTGCGAGCCCCGGTGTGCACCCTCCCGGCAGCGGTAATTCACAACGTGCCGGCATGCAGGACACGGGCACTGGCAGCGGGACAGGCCAGGGACTCCAGCAACGGCTTCGCGACGGGCCGGGGTGTGCGCCAGGGCAAGGCAGGCCAGCGCCCAGCCAGCACTCGCCAGGCCTCGCCGGCACAGGCGAGACGCCGCGGTCAGCCGCGGTCTCGGTGGGGCACGCCGTTGGGGAGCGCCGCACGCTCTATCGCCAGCCACTGTGCCTGCCGCCTGGTGGCGGCCGCAGCCTCGGCGTCCTGTGGAGAGGGGGGTTTGCGGTGGGGGCCGTGTCAGGCAGTGGCACGGCACAAGGCGTTTCCGGGGGCAGGCTGCATGCCTGTAGGCGCAGTGGTTTCACGTGCCCACCCCCGCATGCTGCCATGCGGGAGTGCCTGCCGCGGCGTCTGAGGGCGCCCGTGCCCTGGGGCGCTGCCGGCTCTACCCTCCAGCGGATTGGGAGCCCGCCAGTCTCACTGCCTCCCCACTGGACATGCCACGCTTCTCGCCCGCCACGAACCCACCCCTCGGGCTGCCAGCTTGCGCAGGCAGGAGTCGTACAGGCTGCGATCCATCTCCTGGAACATCTTGCGCACGTTCAGCGTCAGGCTGCAAGTGGGTGGGCGGGTGCATTTGTGAGATGGCGCGCCCCGGCCGGCGCCGAGTAAGGAGCGCACGGGCCCAGTTGCGGTCCCCAGACGGTCCCTCGCCAGCCACCCAAGCAGTCCGCACCCCAATGTCAAACCCCCTCCCCCCCCCCCCAAAGGGCTAACCGTCCCCTCTCCTCCTCCACCCACCTGTGCACCGTCGAGTTCCAGTGGTGCGCAGCGTTGTCCTCCAGCGCCGCCAGCACCAGGGGCAGCACCACCTCCTTGTGCTGCGCGACCTGTGACACGATGACGTCGTTGTTCCAGAGGAACAGCGACCGCTCCGCAACCTGGAAGTGGCTGGAGGTCAGGCACCGCGCGATGCGGCGGAACAGGGGCTCCATCACCTCTGCAAACTCAGGAGCCTGAAGGAAGAGGAGGGGGGGAGGTTAAAGGGGGGTAATAGCTGGGAAGAGGGGGGGGAGGGTAATAATCGTGAAGGGGAAGCTGGATGGAGACCCAACCGACATGGGTTCGATGGCCAACAGGCACTGGATCGAAAGCCACCACGCTGGCTCAGACGCCGCATCAGTGCTCTGGGAAGCCCATGCGCTGCGGCCAACCACCCCGCGTCCCTGGGTATACCCACCTGGGTCCACTCGAGCACTTCTTCCAGCTCCCCGAGGAACAGGACCTCCTTGTGCGAGTTGGTGATGGGCCAGAACTTGAGCAGCCCCTGGATCACAGGCACCGCCAGCCGGCTGTCCTTCTCCACAAACTGTGAGGATGCGGAGGGGGCCAGGATTTTGGGGGGAGGGCCCTTGCAGTGAAGTGCACACCTCGCAGCGAGGACCCAGCGGGTGGGCACGCAGGGCAGTGCAGCTCCTCTGCACCCCTCTCCTAGCCCATGCCCATTTCCCAAAGGGATGGGGCAGCCAATCTGATCCTCCGGCCCCTCCCCAGGCTGACCGCTCCCCACATCCTTCCACCCCACCTGTGTTATGCAGTATGAGAGCTGCTGGTGGTACTGAGGCAGGCTCTTGGGTTTGTGCAGCGGCATGAGTGCGCGCGTGAGGAAGCCCTTGTGCTCCTCCTTCAGGGGCAGGGCGAAGCCGTTGATGATGCTGCCCAGGATCTCCAGCAGCTCTAAGGGTGGGGGGTGGGGGTGGGGGGGTTTGGAGCGTGAGGCGGCCGGTCCCTGGGGAGAGAGGGAGAATGGACGCCCGCAGCAGGTGGCTGTCCCCCGGGCAGCACCCCACTCCACCGCTCAGCCTATCCCCTCCCAACCGATGCACACCAAACCCCGTGTCCCCCTTGACCCCTGCCTCCTCCCAACAGACACACACTTTCAAACATACACACCCAGACACACCTGCGATGCCGTTGTGACGCTCGGTCTCGAAAACAAACCGGTAAAACACAAAGTTGATGGCCTTGCGGATGAAGGGCCGGTGCACCATGAACTTGCCATACACCCGATGCAAGATGGTCTTCAGGTAGTCCCGTTCCCGTGGGTCCTCTGCGGCGCAGCATCGGTGTGATGGGGAGGAGGAAGTGAGCTCTGAGACACTCCTGAAACCATGTGCAAGGACGAGGCAGCGGCACTCGCCACCCACACCGCCGCATGGCAAGCACACCGGGAGGCCCACTCGCAGTACGCCCATGTACCACTGCGGGGTCGCCTGTCGCGATGCTGCGGCGTGGCGCACAGGCATCGGGACCTCCGTTTGCCGTGTATCCGCCCCGAGAACACAGCCAACACCCCCCCTTCCCCCCCTCCCTCCATGCTCCACCCCCGCACGCACCCGAGTCGAAGAGGTCCAGGAGCCTGACGACGAATTGCTGGTCGATGTAGCGCTTGGCGGTCTTGGCGTCGGTGTCGCCCGACACGACATACCGCAGCAAGAACTCGTACACGATCTGGAGGTGGGGCCAGGCCGGCTCCAGGTTGGGTTCTTCCTCCTCCGCGTCAAAGGCGTCAGGGCCGTGCTCGCGCGCGGGGGGCAGCGCGCGGAAGAGGTTTGCGGCCAGCATGCCCACGATGTCCGGCGCCAGCGCGTCCTTGAACTTGCCGGAGCCGGAGTTGACGTGGTCCACCAGCTCCAGCAGCGTCGCGCGCTTCACCTCCTTCTCGTGCACGTGGGAGGCGGGGTCGCTGAAGTCAAAGGTGAACGAGCAGAGGTGGAGCTTGGCCACAAACAGGGCCTCTGGGGAGAGAGGGAGAATGGACGCCCGCAGCAGGTGGCTATCCCCCGGGCAGCACCCCACTCCACCGCTCAGCCTATCCCCTCCCAACCGATGCACACCAAACCCCGTGTCCCCCTTGACCCCTGCCTCCTCCCAACAGACACACACTTTCAAACATACACACCCAGACACACCTGCGATGCCGTTGTGACGCTCGGTCTCGAAAACAAACCGGTAAAACACAAAGTTGATGGCCTTGCGGATGAAGGGCCGGTGCACCATGAACTTGCCATACACCCGATGCAAGATGGTCTTCAGGTAGTCCCGTTCCCGTGGGTCCTCTGCGGCGCAGCATCGGTGTGATGGGGAGGAGGAAGTGAGCTCTGAGACACTCCTGAAACCATGTGCAAGGACGAGGCAGCGGCACTCGCCACCCACACCGCCGCATGGCAAGCACACTGGGAGGCCCACTCGCAGTACGCCCATGTACCACTGCGGGGTCGCCTGTCGCGATGCTGCGGCGTGGCGCACAGGCATCGGGACCTCCGTTTGCCGTGTATCCGCCCCGAGAACACAGCCAACACCCCCCCTTCCCCCCCTCCCTCCATGCTCCACCCCCGCACGCACCCGAGTCGAAGAGGTCCAGGAGCCTGACGACGAATTGCTGGTCGATGTAGCGCTTGGCGGTCTTGGCGTCGGTGTCGCCCGACACGACATACCGCAGCAAGAACTCGTACACGATCTGGAGGTGGGGCCAGGCCGGCTCCAGGTTGGGTTCTTCCTCCTCCGCGTCAAAGGCGTCAGGGCCGTGCTCGCGCGCGGGGGGCAGCGCGCGGAAGAGGTTTGCGGCCAGCATGCCCACGATGTCCGGCGCCAGCGCGTCCTTGAACTTGCCGGAGCCGGAGTTGACGTGGTCCACCAGCTCCAGCAGCGTCGCGCGCTTCACCTCCTTCTCGTGCACGTGGGAGGCGGGGTCGCTGAAGTCAAAGGTGAACGAGCAGAGGTGGAGCTTGGCCACAAACAGGGCCTGGCGCTCGCCTGGGGAGACATCCCGGAACGAGGGCAGCGGTTCTGCAGGAGAGGGGGAAGGGGGGAGCCACTGAGGACCGATGACCCTAAGCCTGATCGGCCTGCACCCCCACCGGCCCTGGGAGACAGCTTTCCCACACCATGCACCCGGTTCCCAGTTTTGAGCCCCGATCCAAGCGCCGATGGGCGGCCTGCACTCGCCTGCATACCGCCGCTGCATTTCCTCCTCAGTCAAGGCAGGGAACCCGTGCCCAGGATCCGTTTCGGGGACCCCTCCCCGGCCCGATGTGCTGGCCACCGGTCCCACAGCATGTCGAGGGGCCTGGCCGGGGGGCGGGGGGGCTGTGGAGGCGCCCACGGGTCCCGGTGCTGTCCCACTGACCCCGACCCCAGCACCGCTGTCGGGCTTCCCGCTCTTGGGCGTTCCCCCCGCCAGCTTCAGCTTCATTGATCGCAGGAGCCCGGAGCTCATGGTATCCAGTGCGGGCCTCAGGGCATGGCCTCACCCCCTCCCCCGGTCCACTGTGCCAGCTGGGCGAGGCGTGATGGCGAGGGGGGTGGGGGATTGGGCACAGTGGTCTCCGGGAGCTCAGAGATGGCAGGAATGAGCACCCTGGTTGGCAGGGACACAGAGGCAAGGCTGGGCTGGGGGGGATGGGGTGGGGTAAGGGTCCGTGCCTCACGAAACAATCCATGCTACACCGAGGGGCCTCCCGGCTTTCCTCCATCAGTACGGGATGCCTGGCCGGGGCCCTGGACTCCCTGAACGCCTGGCAAGCTGGCTCCCAGTCTCAGCCAACCGCCCCGTTGCCATCCAGTCATTACTGCAAGATCGCGCTCGTCTCCCGCAGCTGCCGCCGGCCGCCCAGGGCTGCCCCGAGAGGCGAGGGCGACACCCCCCGGTCCCTCCTCCCCGGCCCTGCCCCGTAAGCGCATCGATCCAGCCTCTTGCCTCCCCACACGACCCCTCATCCCCTGGAGTGAGGCGATGCCGCATCGCCATGACCCCTGTTGCCAGGCGGTGGTGCTGGCCGGGGCCTCCGGCTCCCGCCTGCACCCCCTGAACTCCGGGGGCACGCCCAAGGTGCTGCTCCCCGTGGCCAACCGCCCCCTCCTCTCCTTCCCCCTGCGCACCCTGGAGGAGGCCGGGGTGGCGGAGGTGCTGGTGCTGTGCGAGGGCGACGCCGCGGCCTCCGCGGTCCAACACTGGCTGGCCGGCTACTCGGGCGCCCTGGCCGTGGAGGCGGTGCGCGTGACAGAGGGCAGCAGCCCCGTGGAGGCGCTGCGCGGCGTGCGCGACCGCCTGCGTGCGCCGCACGTCGTGCTGCTGTCAGGGGACGTGGTGACGGAGGTGCCGCTGCAGGCGCAGCTGCTCACGCACCGATTGCGCGGCGCGGCGGTGACGCCGCTGCTGGCGCGCCGCCGCGAGTCCGCCGCGGCGGAGACCAAGCCCGGCCAGGCGCCCAAGAACGTGGACTACGTGGGCTTGACCGCCGACGACGGCCTGGCCTTCTACCTGCACTCCCCGGACCGCGCGCGGCAGCTGCGCATCCCGCAGCGCGTGGTTGACCGCGTGCCGTCGCTGACGCTGCGCACCGACCTCACCGACATGCACGTCTACGTGTTCCAGACCGAGGCGCTGCGCGCCGTGCTCGCCGCCCGCCAGGACCTGCACAGCCTGGAGGTGTGGGGAGGTGTATGTGTGTGTGATGGAGGATGGGAGGAGGTTCCCCCTCGGGGTGTGCCTGCCATGGAGCCTCTGCATGTCGCGTGCCACATGCCCCGCCAAGCCCACACACGAGATTGCCAACAGACACAAGCACAGAGACCTCTGCGCCCCGCCCGCCACGCCCACCCGCCCCCGCCCCTTCCCACACACAGGAGCATGTGGTGCCGTACATGGTGCACCAGCAGCTGCGGGGCGGGGGCGGGACGCTTGGCGGCGGCCCCGGCGCCGCCCCCGGCCCCGCCCGCGAGCCGACCATGCGCGCCGCCAGCTCCGCGCTGTCCATGAGCTCGCGCGCCGTCTCCGCCTCGCTCTCCTCCTCGGCCCTGGACGTGTATGGTGACGCGGCGGCCGCCGCCGCATCGGCCGCCGGCTTCCCCGCCGCCGCCGCGTCGCCGCCGCGGCCGGCGCCCGGCCAGGAGGGCATCGCCTGGCGCTGCGCCGCCTTCCTGGCGCCGGAGGGGGCCTACTGCTGCCGCGCCAACTCGCTGCAGGCCTACGCAGAGGTGAACCGCGACGTGCTGGCGGGGGCGCCCGCCGCCAGCCTGCTGCGCGAGGCGCCCAACGCCAAGTACGAGAACTTTGTCCATTCCTCAGTCCAGGTGGGCAAGGCGTATTGGGGACCGAGGGTGCGTGGGTGGAGAGTCCAGGGCAAGGGCGGCTGGGCTGCAAGCCCGAACCCTCCCTTGACCCGGTGCTGATGAAGGAGGCGCCAGTGTCAGCACCCTCTGCACGATGAGAAACTCCCCTCGACCCCCGCCAAGCAGATGGGGTCCAAGGCGGCAGTCGGGGCGGGGTGCATGATCGGCGAGGACGTGGTGCTGGGCGACAAGTCTACGGTCAAGCGCTCAGTCATCGGTCCCAACTGCAGGATCGGCGCAGGCGCCAAGGTGCGGTAGAGGGGTTGCGATGGAGGGCAGGGCGGCGATGGAGGACGTTCTGTGTGCGCACCAATCTCTGCCTTGACCGTCAGGAGGTGTGCGCTGCGATCACTGTGCGCCCCAGCTCCTCAATACAAGACGGGGCCAGGTCCCCCCCTGGCAACCTCCAACCCCCCACCCAAATGACCTCACCGTGTCCAGATCATAAACAGCGTGCTCATGGCAGACGTGACGGTGGAGGATGGGGCGCACGTGCACGGCTCCATCCTGTGCAACAGGGCGGGGGTGGGTGCCGGGGCCAGCCTGAGGGACTGCCAGGTCAGCCCAGAGTTCAGGGTGGGCGAGGGCGCCGACCTGCGCGGGGAGGTGCTGGCCTCCAGCAGATGAAACGAATCAGACAGTGTCTCCTGTATTGTTTTCCTGCCTCGGGCGCCCCTGCCGAGTGCTGCAGCGTGTGTAACAGCGGTTGCCGTTGGAGGGGGGTGCGCAGGGCAGGTATCTTACGATTGCCATCCTTTCCTATGAAACGTCCACGAGCGGAAGCACCTGCTTGCGGGACCCCAGGCACTTCTCCAGCAGATACCACGGCCAGCGCCATGGGCTGCATTGATCACACTTCTGTCAGGTCACCTAATGACATTGCCTGATAGGCTCTGATCCCCCCCCTGCTGGCTCTCGCACCTTCCTTCCAGGCCAGGTCCCTGCTGGTGGGATGAACTTCTACAACACGGGCGGGCGACCGGCCACCTTCGATCCCTTTGATGATCCAAGAGGTTTCAGGTAGCTTGAGGCGTCCAGGGATCCAGCTGCACACCGAGCGGGCATGGGGGTGTCCGGTCATTCCGGGGTGCGGGACCAGCCCGGGGACAGCTGTTGCCTGCTGTCCCGGAGTGCACATGGGGCATACCACGCTGATCCACGCACTCAAACCCCCCCACAGGAAGCGTCCGAAGAGCATCTTCGTCCGACACAGCGGCAAGCTCAGCGGGCTGGCCGTCCTCTTCCTGACCGCCACAGTGATCTACCTGCACTCCCACCGCCGTACCCTGCACAGCCACCTGGCTGCCAAGGACTACCAGCTGAATGCTATTGTGGAGGAGAAGGAGGCCATATCCCGCACCCTGCGGGAAAAGGACCACAAAGTGAGCGTGAAGACGGTGGAGAGCGAGCACCTGCGGCGCACCATCGAGCGGCTGCAGGAGGAGGTGTCCACCCAGAGCACGCGAGCCCTGGAGGCCACCAGGCTGGCCGAGGAGACCACGCGCGCGTCGGCGGCCAAGATCAAGGCCCTGGAGGAGAGGCTGCAGGCCGACACCGCGCGCTACACGTCCCAGGTGGGGCTTGGACGTGGTTTGCTTTTTTTGGGGTGGGGGTGTCCTGGCAGGGATTGGGTCACCAGCGACCAGGCCATGGCAGGGCAAGGCGGCTGTCATGCGTGATCGAGGCGGGAGCGGCTGCCGCCCCGCGGCTTTGCTGGGTCCTGCAGCGGACCCCGCTTTGGTCCACGGCGGGGATGGGCGCTCCCCTGTCCGAGGCCGCTGTGCGCCCTTGTGCGGTCAAAGTCGGATCGGCCCGGACGCCACTTTGAAAGCCCCACAGCATCAGGCCCCGCTGTGGCCCACCATACATCCTGCTGCACCGACCCAAGCACCGGTTTTCAAAATTGCAGGGCGGGGAGTGCAACGCCCGCCTCGCCACGGCGCTGTCCGAGAAGGCGGCCGCCGACAGCCGGGCAACGTATGCGGAGTCGCTGGCGGCCGCAGCCGAGGGGCGCGCCACGGCCGCCGAGGCGCGCGCGGCCGCCAGCGAGGCGCAGCTCGCGGCCGCCAGGGCCGGCGCCCTCCCCACGCCCCCGGCCGCCGTCCCGGCGCCAGTTGTGCCGGTGGCGCAGGAGGTCCCCGCCGTCCCCGTGCCGGCTGTGCCGGTGCCGGCGACGCCGCTGACCGTGCCGGCCACGCCGCTGACCGTGCCGGCCACGCACGACGAGGCGGGGGCGGGCGAGGTCCCGCTGCCGGGCGCGACGACGGGCACGCCAGCCGGTGCCGGGCTGGCGGCCAGCGCCCTGCCCGTGACCCTGGGCCAGTCCGCGGGGTTGCCCGCGGGGCCGACGGAGCCCAACCCCTTTGTGGCGCGGGCGGGTGGGGTGCCCCAGCAGGCGCAGCAGCAGCAGCAGGGGCCGGCCCCGCCGGCCCACCCGGCGCGGCAGACCGTGGAGGCACACATGGCGCGGCACCACCACCGCCTCAGCATGCTGGAGACGGCCATGGGGCACGAACGGCGGGAGGGGGAGGAGGAGCCGCAGGAGGACCCCTTTGCCAAGCTGCCCTGACCGCGCCAGGCCTGGGGAAGGCCCGCTCATCATGTGGTTCGTGGCTCTGTTGCAAAGGCCTGGACGCAAGAGTGAGGGGCTTGTGAGGAGGGGGGAGAGGGGGTGACAGGTGCAGAGGAGTCCCGCCGTGCACGCGCAGCATTCGTCACCAGGGCGCCGGATCGGCGGGTCGGGGCGCCGCGTGACGGAGACAGGTGGTTGGGCCTCGAGACACAGGGGGGGGCGGAATCCTGTGGGACATCGGGACCCAGGCGTCTCTACATCTCTCGGAAATAAGAGATCTCGAAGCCCAAAAGGTTACCAGTGCGTCCGTGTGGAGCCGCTGAGTGCCATCTAGGGATATCGCAGGGAGGGTCGCCCCACCGCGACGCACCCACCCCGTCAAGTTCCACTTCAGGGCAACCCACATCCGCTCACCGAGCACTAATAGATTCTACACGCGGCTCAGACATGGTTGGACTCCAGACCATGCCCCCGGACGTGACTCGAGCACTGTTCAGGTGGGGTCCCGGCGCCTGCCCGGGGGAGGTCCGGGCTTGCCAACCCCAGGACTGCCATGCCAGACTGCATACTGCATGACTCACTCTCCATGCCTCCATTCCACAGTGATCTCAGCCCCCGAGAGCTCGTGGGCGTCGCGGCGCAGGTGTGGTGATGGGCGCTGACGGCCAGAACCCCAACCACCTACAATGGCCAAGATGGTGCCGCATTCGCAAACCCTCCCCGCACTCACTCCCTGACCTCAAACCTCCACGCAGTGCCGCTCCTTGGCATGTTCGGCATTCGAACCCGACCTGTGGGAGAGGCACTGCAGGCAGAGATGGCCGAATGTCGGGTGGGGAGCGCATGGAGCCGCCGACCGCATCGGCGACTGGTGCTCAACCTTCCGCCGGCGAGCTGCGATGCCGATTGGGTTTCCCCTGGCCTGCGATGCCATAGCGGGCGTGACCATACACTGTGCTGAGAGCCCCTGTGCGGCGCAGTCATTCCCTGGCCTCCTCAGGGATCTGGCCACGGTGGCGACATGTATGGAAGGGTGCGCCGGGTCGGCGAATTCGATGGGTGCAGGTCAGGCCCCTGAGAGCTCCCTTTGGCAAAAGCTGCATCCCCTGTCAATAGATTTCAGTTGCTTGGCTCACCAAAGGACCATTGGTATTGCAGGAATAAGCACCTGAGGGACACGCCCGAATTCAGGCTACTGCAAGAGAATATGACCTGGTGGTTGGCGGAACACCCGGGGGTAAGTTGGCCAGGCGATGACTGTGGTGTGGGGAGGTGCTGAGCATGCGAGGGTCCATCTCGTGCTCTTGGATCAAGAGATACCTCTCACTTCTCAGTCCCAAGGGTTGACATTGTGTGTCATTCCAGCACCCCACCTGTGTCATCCCAGGTTGTTATGGCCACCTTTCGCCGCTTGAGTGCAGCCCCAGAGAGCGCTTCCCATTCACATGCCTGGCATGGTCAAGCAGGCTCCCTGCTGACCATCCTGCAATGGCTGAAGGTGAGGCCTGGAACCTTTGCAACCCAGACATCACGATGATGTACAGCATGCTAAGCATCCCTGAACCTCTCCGCTCCTTTATCCTCCATGCAATGGACTGCCCTTTCAGGAACACAAGCTTCTGGCACGGCTCCATCCATCCGTCTCAGACAGGATCCAGTCCGAGACCCTGCTCCTCCAGCGACAAGTCTGCGCAGCGGTGGGTATTTACTGGGGCGTTCATTTTAAAGAGAATATAGGGTCTGTCCGTAGCATTGAAAATTCACCTTGAACCAATTGCCGCACCACTATCCAAATCCCATGCGCACACGCAGGCATAGGCAAGTAAGAGTCACGCAAACTTGGGAAAAGGGTTGCTGATGGACTGTTGTCATCTCGCAATTGGAATTTGAGGCGGGTAAACTTCACCTGACGATGTCCTAATCATCTGTAATGATTCGATGTATGAAACTTGCGGAAGGTAGATACAGAGGGCTCTTGAGTAGAATAGCAGTGGGAGCAGAGGCTTGCCGTGGGCGATGCACGCACGTGGATCCAACCTCGCGTGTTTTCCCACCCACCTCCACCATAAGCACGGCATACGTCCATCAAGCGATTGTAAAGCACTGATGCCAATTACTAGTCTTTCACCGGCTCTGCATGCTGGTGATCAAGACCCTGCGGGGCCAGCGGTATGAGGTGGTTTCGGAGGAGGCCCCCACCATTCGTGATGTGAAACGACTGCTGGCTGTGCAGCATGGCGCTCCCTCCCTGCAATTGTTTTACAAGGTTGGAGGGCACTTGTAGCGAAATGGATCCAAAGCCATCACGTCCTGTTTCATGGTCATGAGTCGGATGTTCACGTCCGTCTGACATGTTGTCCTCCTCTCCATGCAGGGCATGCGCCTGCCAGACGACCAAGCCATTGCCGACCTCAAGCTGGGGCCCCTGGACACTCTTGTGAGCACTCCCTTCCTCGATGCTTTCTGAGGAGTGCTTCAATGCCAGGGACGCCATTGCTTGACACCACCATCCCCCCCTGCAGGCGGGGATCCCCAGTCGAGGGGCAGGTCGGGTGCAGGCGGAACCCAATCATCTTGGGAATGGCCAGACAGCCAGCCCCTGCCCTGCAGTGATTCAAGTGACGAGTGAGCCAGTCTGTGAGATACCTGGCGACTCTGCCACAGCTCCGGCCTCAGCCTCCCCGCCTGCCTCCCCCACGTCGCTAGACACATTGCTGCCCGGGTACCTCTCCCGCCCCGGCGTTTCCCCCGCCAAGTTGCTGCGGAGGTCTGTGGGGCCCGGCAGCACCGCCAGCGCGGGCCATGCCGTGAGCCGGTCAGCGCCTTGGCCTGACGCCCGCCCTTCAATGGGAGAGGAACTGCGGCGCCACGCCAGTGAGGCGGGCGAGGCCAAACTCCAAGCGGAGGAGGGGTCTGGCTCTGGCCCCCTTGGCGCTAATGCAGGGGAGGATGCTGACGTGGAGGCTGTGCGTGCTGAGTTGAGGGTGCAGGGCGTCGCTTTCATGCATGGCGGTGCGGCCGGCGACGACTGCCCCAAAGAGGCATCCCCGGAAGTAGGGTTCAGCCGAGAGACCCTGTTGCGAGAACCGAACCAGTTGAGTGACGACGAGGCCGCTGCGCCGCTCGCCGCCGACCCGTTTGACAACAGTGGCAAGGTCAGGGATGCGGAGAGCGCTGCATTGATCGCCGCCATGGTACTGCCCCGTGAAGCTCATCGCTTGGAGTGGGCATTCTCTGTGCTGACCAATGTCGTGTCCTTTTTGGACAGGACACACATTCAGGTAGATGGCATTGGCTGCGAGGAGCCCAGGCCTCCTGGAGGGGATTTGCTTTGATCTTGGTGCAGAGGGTCGGGAGGATTGCGGGAGCCTGAGGATGATGACGTGTGAGGATCAGGTGGGCCTGGGGATCCTGAGCTTGTTTCATTATAAAGCACCTTTGCACCTTACGAATCGATCCTCACCTGGTCGCCTGCCTGTTCTTCCACAGCCGTCATGGCGGAGGGTTGCAGCCGGTCTAGCTTCCCTGCAGCTTCCTGGAAACATCACGCTGGAAGATGTCCAGGCCATGGCTACCATCTGCCCGGATGTGCTGTCCCTGCACACCCACCATCGGTGGGTGGGTGCTCTGAACAGGGGATGGTTGCGGGAACGGGCTGGGTGGCTTCAACCGCCCAGAATCTTGCTCCAGCATCAACACCCGCCTGCCCATTCTCTTTTGTGCTCCCTGCGTCAGGCTGAGAGAACAGGATCAGGTGGACGGCTGGAAAGGGACGCGCGGCAGCGAGGCGCTCACCGCCATGCAGGAGAGCCTGGGCGCCGCCCGCCAGGCAGAGGCAGCGTCTGGCGAGGCGGGGGGGTCCATTCCGAACCCCATGCAGGCATGTGGATGCTTCAGAAGACGAGGGATGGATGATCTGGGCCACGCAATGTTAGGAAAGGGCTCCGACTATGGCATACCCCAACCCCAGGTGGCATGCGCACACCCCTCGATCAACCACTCTAGCACCAACACTGCCCCAGATCCCCACTGATGGGGCCGGCGCTGTGGTGGGGGGCGTGGCCGGCAGTGATAGCGAGGCGGAGGGCCTCATCCTAAGTGTCGTGGACGTCGGCCGGTGGGTGTGGGCGCTGGTGCGGTGCTGCAGGGCTGGCCGAGCGGCGTGGTGTGCTTGGCAAGATGTAGGCATCTGTGTGCAACAGCCCCCCTGTGGAACGCATGGCAACTCTGTCTCACACCTAGCTCACCAATCGCCCCAGCGTGACGTCCAAGGGCGGCATACCGCCCGGCTTCCTGGAGCGCATGCGCCAAGCGGAGCCCTCCGGACAGGATGGCAATGTGGCGGTCGATGCTGGGGCTCTCAATGCGCAGGCCGCTGTCAAAGGTTTGCTCCCAGGCGCTGCGGCGCCGCCGGAAGGGGCTGCATCCGAGGGCGCTGCAGCGGCAGCAGCAGTCGCCGCGCCGCTGCCCGCCCAATCTCCTGCCCTGGTCGCCCGGCCCCGGCGCGGGCGCGTGACCAAGCAGCAGCGTATCGCCTGGGCCTTCAGGTGTGCGCTGGCTCGCGCCGTGCTGGACGCCCAGCGCCTGGCCAGGGGCAGGCGCCAGGTCAGCAAAGTTGATTCGGCCGGTCCCGCCGAGTGGCAGGGGGACCCCACCACGGTGGCGGAGCTGGCGCGGGCCGCCGCTGGCCGCCGGCCTGCAGCAGCCGGGCAGGGCGCCGCCGCCGCAGCTGGAGGCCGGCGCCCCGGTGCGCCGCGCGCCCTGCCCTCCACCGTGCGCCTGAACGAGCCCTGCCTGGACCGGGGTGCGCTGGACACAGTGGGGTTCCTGGACCACCTGCGCCGCCTGTCCTGGTACCGGGACCAGGTGGTCCACTGCGAGTGGGTGCCGGCGCGCAGAGCGAGCTTTGCGGAGCCTTCGGGCGGCCTGTCGGGGGCGCTGGCGGCGGCGCTGGCGGCCCAGGGCGTGACGCGGTTGTTCAGCCATCAGGCCCACGCCGTGGACCTGCTGCGCCAGGTGGGGAAATTGGAGGGTAATGGGGAATGGAGGGTGGTGGGTGGAGTCCCAGTGGCAGCCCTGCCTCACGGCAGGCGGGGTGCCAGGACCTTCTGAGGCTCCTGGGCCACTGCTGCGACCCACTCCCTGCAGGGCCAGCACACCGTCATCGCAACTTCCACCGCGTCCGGCAAGTCCCTGTGCTACAACGTACCCATCCTGGAGGCCATCGCCGCGGACCCATCCGCCACCGCCATCTACATGTTCCCCACCAAGGCACTGGCCCAGGTGGGTGGTCGGGTGGAGGGCGGGCAATCCTGTCGCTGTGTCCAATTGCGGAGCACGAAATGCCCCGACGGGCATGAGCACCTTGCACATGCACACCATGATGCTGGGCCAGCTCAGCCTGATGCGCAATCCCTCGCCTGCATCGCCGGCGTCGCGCGCAGGACCAGCTGAGGGCGCTGCGCACGCTTTGTCAGCGCGTCTTCGGGGACGCCGCTCCGGCGGTGGAGGTATACGACGGCGACACGCCCAAGAGCGAGCGGTGAGGTCGGCGTGGGCTTGCGCTGAGGTGGTCAGGTTGCTTGCTGGGAAAGGGACCGGTCTGACGTGCGGGTGGCGGCGATTCGCAGCAGGCACACTGCGGAATTGGTTGAGCTGGTCCGTGCAACGCGCCCAGGTGTGCACGCTTGGTGCCTGCCCAGAATGTCATCAACATCCTCAGCACCCCACCGCCCCCTACCTCCTCTATCCCAGGGGTCCTATCCGAGACCGAGCGCGGTTGCTCATCACCAACCCCGACATGCTACACATGAGCATCCTCCCCGTGCATGGCCAGTTTGAGAGCCTGCTGCGTGGCCTGCGATATGTGGTACTGGACGAGGGGCACGCCTACAAAGGTGCGGGAATGGGGGGCGGGGCAGGAATCCGGTGATACAGAGCTTGAGGGTTGGGAACTCGCGCGCATCTGGCTTCCTCGCCTCCTTCACTCCAACCAAGGCAGAGCAAATGGAGCGTGGCTGGTCGCATCCCCATGCCCGCACACCCTGCCGAGCAGGTGTGTTTGGCGCGCACTCTGCCATGGTGGTCCGGCGGCTGCGGCGGCTGTGCGCCCGCCTCTACGGCTCCAACCCCACCTTTGCCGTGACCACCGCCACGGTCGCCAACCCGGAGGAGCATGCCGCCCGGCTGCTGGGGTCTCAGGAAGTTCATGGTGAACTGGGGCGGTGGCGAGATGGACGCGTCTGAGGCACCGGTTCAAACATAAACACTTGCTGGGTGTGCTGCACGAGCGTGCCCGTGCCTGCTTCATGGCTGCACAGACTAAACACCCTCACACCCCTCCCCATTGCGGCGCTGTGTCTTCCAGCGGTCCTGGAGGACGGGTCGCCGCATGGTCCGCGCTGCTTTGTGCTGTGGAACCCCCCCCTCACCCATGTGCGGCGCGTTGGTGGATGGTGAAGTGGGGAGAGCACCCGTGGCATGTAACCATGGTGCAGCGTGGCAGGCTCTTTGGCTCGGTACTTGTTGGCTCCTTTGCTTCTCTGCCTAATATCAACCAGCTTCTTGCCATATACATGCTGCAGCCACCTGGGGCCACCAGTGAAGGTGGTGTGGTCGCCACCAGGGGGACGCTGAACCCCATCCTCTCCAGCAAGAGGGCACGGGAGGAGGTTGCGCGGCAAAATAAACGGTTGGTAAACCAGCAGCGACGAGCAGGTGAGAGGAGAGGGGGGGAGCGGAGGCAAGGTGGCCGTCATACCACCTCGCTTTGACAGGACCGAGATTGCAGCAAGGGCCTCTTCACCTGGCAGCCTGTACACTCATTGCATCCTATCCCGCGCTGGGCCTTGCGACCAAGCAGGCACCCAGCTGCAAGAGAAGGCGGGCATGACGGAGGCCGAGTGGCTGGCAGCCGTCGCGATCGGGAGGAAGCGGGGCTTGGCGGATGAGGACGTGGGGCCGCGGCCAGTGCCAGGGGCGAGGGTGCAACACGATTCTGGGTCGAGCCCCAGTATGCAGCCCAGCCCAGCATCCAGTGAGTGTGCTGGGTGCGAAGAGGGAGGGTATGTGAGAGGCTCTGTATAAGCAATCTCAATGGATCCCTCGCGCCAGCCATGCAACCTCCTGACAACGGAGCCTTCCCCCACCCCGGCACATGGCAGGTGCACAGGCAGGGCCCAGCGCCACCAAGTCCGATCTGGCAAGTACCCCCCAGGGAACGTCAGGACGTCAAGGCCCCAGGGGCGAGCCCGTGCGGCCCCTGCGCATCCGGTCTGGGGGTGGCCTGCGGGCCTCCATGCAGCGCTTGGCCGGCAGCGCGGACCCCGCTTCCCGGCGGCAGCTGCGCGGCAGGGGCGTTGTGCTCGAGGGCGGGGCCGGGGACGACCGCGCCCACCTGCCCACCTCCCAGGACTGGAAGCATCACACCCTGGTGTGTGGGCGTGCGGGCATCCTGCCGATGGGTCCATGGGGAGGAAGCATGCACCCCATCTCCTGCACTGCGGGGCTCAATGCATGGCGATCATACCCTGTGGGGCTCAAACCCTGAGCAGGTAAACCCCCTGTCATGAGGCCTCAGCTGCCATCGCCCCCCGCATGCATCCCCAGGCGCAGACGCGGGCCCGCCACGGCGCGGCGGGGGTGCTCCAGGAGAACCGGCGCGGCAGCCCCATCATGGAGCTGAGCTGCCTGCTGGCGGAGGCGGTGCAGCACGGCCTCCGCACCCTGGCCTTCTGCATGACTCGGTGGGGCCTGCTGAGGTTGGGGATGGGAGGGGGGAGGGGATGGGAGGGGGAAGGGGATAGTGTGAGGGTCTGGTCGTGCGACGTGATGGCGGCTGCAGCGGCACATTCCCAGTCCATACCACATGGGACCCCCCCTGTGCCAGCCTCGGGCCTGCTCATGCACCCCGCCCTCCTCTGCATTCAACATGAACAGCAAGGTGTGTGAGCTCGTGACCGCCTACGTGCGTGAGATCCTCCAGCACACTGCCCCCGGGCTGGAGGAAAGCATCGCCGTGTACCGAGCGGGGTACAGGTGAGGGTCCAGATGCAAGGTAGTTCATGGTGCAGGCAGTGAAGAGGGAGGTTGGACAGGGTTTGGGAAGGGCTGCTGCTGGAGGCCTGCGTCGGGGTGGTGTCCATCCTTCCAGCCTCTCCCACTTCTTCCCTCGCTCCCATTCCCCCTTGGTCGCCCCCCACCTCCCCCCTCCCCATCACCACTCCCAGCCCCCAGGAGAGGAGGGAGGTGGAGCAGGCGCTGCATGACGGGCGCCTGATGGCGGTGGCCGCCACCAACGCCCTGGAGCTGGGAGTGGACATTGGTAGCCTGGACTTGACCCTGCACCTGGGCTTCCCGGGTTCCGTGGCATCGCTCTGGCAGCAGGTGGGCGGGCGTGTGGCAGTGGGGCGGGTGGGAGGAGACTGCGTCGCAGAGCGAGGGGACGGCGGTGCTGGTCCCCGCTGAGGTGCCGCAGGCGCGCGACCCAGGTGTGAGCGGATGGATGCTCGGACCACCCCTCGGTGCCAGAACTCTGTGAATGGCCCCCCACACACATCATACACGCACACACATCCACCAGGCGGGGCGGGCGGGGCGGCGGGAGCAGCCGAGCATGAGCATCCTCATCGGCTGGGAGAGCCCGCTGGACCAGTACTTCATGGCGCAGCCTGCCCGCCTCTTCGGCCGGCCCATCGAGCACGCCACCATCGACCCGGCGCAGCCCATGGTGCTGGAGGCGCACGCTGTGTGCGCTGCGGCGGAGCTCCCCCTGGTCCTGACCCCAGACCTGGACCTGGCTTGCTTCTCCACAGGTGAGGACGATGAGATTTTGTCTGAATCAGTCATGCCAGTGCTGGTGGGAAGTCTGGAGGATCTGCCACGCTCACATCCTACCGCTGCGCCCTGGCTCAACGCCCCGCTGCAGCCCTGCGTCCGGTGTGCGAGAACCTGAAGGCCAGCGGGCTGCTGGGGAGGCACCCTGGGTCGGCGGCAGACCACTCCATGCTGCACTACACGGGCCAGTTCAGCAACCCGGCCGCCAAGATCAGGTTCAGGGGATGGAGGTGACTGCCCATCCTCCAAAGGAAAACAGTAGAAGGAGCTGGCTGCAGGGGCTCATGCTCTGCACCCGAATGCAGGCTGCCCACACCTGCCAAACCCACACCTGCCAAACCCACCATGCCAAACCCGCCATGCCAAACCCACCATGCCTGCACGCTGGCACTCCCACATCCACAGTCTCAGGGCCATCGACCCGGAGCGCTTTGCCATTGTCAATGAGGCCGCGGGCGGGACGGTCCTGGAGGAGATAGAGGAGAGCAAGGCCTTCTTCGAGGTGTACGACGGAGCCGTCTACATGTACCAGGTGCGAGGGGTGGAAAGACAGGGACAGCAAACCTTATGGCATATGTCTTCCATCTAATCGAGGGATGGAAAGGACAGTGCTCGCTGGTCTTCGGCAGAGGAGGGGGCCCACGCTTTGGGGCGGCATGAGGAACGATACCATCCCAAGCTCTGCTGCTCCAACCCACGAGACCATGATGTAGAGATCACGGCCTCGTTGTCCTCCCCAGGGGCGCACCTATCTCTGCGTAAAACTGGACCTGGATGCCCGAGTGGCCATTGTGCGCCCTGCGGACGTCAAGTACTACACAGCCGTCTCCGATATGACAGAGGTGCAGGCCTGGGAAGGAAGGTGTCGGGCAGAGGGGTGGGCGCGTGAGCAGGGACCTTGTAGAATCGTCGTCGTCTGTGCCTGCTTGCCATGCGGCATACAAGCCTCCCTGCTATGGCACCCTGTAGGGGCAGACATTCGAGCAAACATCATTGGACGCCACTGCGATCCGCGCCCCCCTCCTCTCCGCAGGTGCAAGTCCAGGGCGGCATGCCGTCTTTCCCCGCTCCGCCAGCCGCCACGCCCCCGCCCCTAGATCCAGGCGTGGACGCCAAACCCGAGGAGGCTGTGCACCTGCTTTCCACCTCTGCCACCTGCGCACCTGCCACCATCACCATGCGGTTCCTGGGTTTCAAACGTGTCTGGCGCGGCAGCGGCGTCGGTGAGCACAAAGCTGGAAAGGGAGGGTAACGGTGGATTTATGCATGCTGTACCCTGCATCAATAGCAGTTGGAGAAGCAAGGGTGGTGATTGAACGGATGGCAGTGCAGATTGCTTGGGACATGGGTCGGCATGTCACTTGCAGGTTCTCCTGACCTTGCTTCCTCCCTCTGCTTGAGCCGTTTTAGATCTTATCGACCCCTGGCTCTCCCCCTCATCCGTGCCACGCAGTGTTCGACCGTGTGGAGCTCTTCCTCCCAGACATGCGCTTCAGCACGGATGCCACATACATCCGCCTGCCCCACATAGTCCGCCTGTCTCTGAGGGATGCAGGTGTGAGCAAAACGTGTGCCCTAACACCTACCTGAGCAGGCACCATGTCGACGGTCTGCAGGCAATTCAGCTCCTGTGTTTGGGGCGGAGCCAACGAGGCTCACACCACATGCGCACCAGCCCTCTCATCCAGAGCACCGCGATTCATCTGCCGCCCTGCTCCGCGCAGGCCTGGGCTTCAGGGAGAGCGTGCATGCTGCTGCGCATGCTGTGCTGAGCGTGCTCCCCCTCTTCATCATGTGCGGGTCCAACGACGTGGCGACAGGCATGCAAGGCTGGTTTGGGGTGGTGGAAGATTGGGCACGGTGATCGAGGCATTTCCCGACATGCCAGCCCCCGGAGCCCTCCAGCCCCATGACTGCCATGGCACGTTTGCCTGGGACAGAAAACTTCCCAAACATAGACCCTCCCTCCCTTTTCCTCCCACTCTCCCAGAGTGCGACAATCCATATGACACTCGGTACAAGCCGGAGCGGCTCCTTATCTACGACAAGCACCCGGGAGGCATAGGCCTGTGTGCCGCGGTGAGCATGAGGGGGTGCAAGGTTCATGAGGGTTCAAAGTTTACTTGTCAGGAGAAAGGCAGGGCTGGATAGGAGGGATTTTGCCTAGAACACCACATCGAGGGCTGCTCTGCTGAATGGCCAGCTGGACATCTGGCCCGGCCTACACCACACCTCCCAGGCAGCAGGCCTCTTTGGTCAGATCCTGATCCGGGCCCTGCAGCTGGTGGAGGCTTGCGAATGCACCTCGGACATTGGGTGCCCATGCTGTGTACAGCACGTGTCTTGCAGCCAGTACAACACAGGTGCGTCGATGAGCAGCTGTGCTTGGAGGGTGCGGCGGCATGGGACCATGCGCCTATGCTGGCAGGGAAACAAATTACAGTGCTGGCATGCAGAACCAACAAAAGGATGGCGCCCATCATGCCATTCAACCAAAGATCAACCTTGCCTGTAATAGACGCTCCACAATCCTCCCCCCTTTGCAGTGCTAAGCAAGCCTGGCGGTGTACTGGTGCTGCAGACCCTCATCAAGTGGGAGGAGGAAAGGGCTGCTCAGACCCGCCAATTGGAGCTTGCAAGGGAAGAAGGAGCTTGAATAGTGCTGATGGTGCTTCCTTAGTAGTTTTATGGTGGAGGGGAGTGAACCATGGTCTTGGTTGCAGAGGAGATGGCTGTGTGGTGCATGCGGCCTGTGGACCCAGTGCCGACGGCATCAAGGATCTCGGCCGGTATTTCATGCGTGCTCGCCCCGCGACATGAATGCTTACCAAGGACACGAGGAGGAGTATATGCTGCCTTTAAAACCCGTCCCTCGTCACTGCAACGCCCATCCGAAGGGGCATTGGTGGTAATTAGGGGCTCTCATGGCTCTCCAAGTATCGTTGGCGGGTCATGCCATCCACCCTTCCTCGGCGCATGCACCGCGTTTGCCGCGTCCATTGCGTGGCCTTTTATCTCATGGAGCTATCTCAAGGACATGCGCCTGTCCTGCGACTCGGCGCGTCGGCTCTGGGGTGAGAGGGCGAGAGGCGCATCCGCCAGCCGTGGGCGAGGTCATCTGGGCTCGGGTAGAATCCCCCGGCACCGGATCGCAGCCGCAGGCTTACAGACCTGATATCCTGCGTACAGGTAACCCCCTGGATCACAAGGTCCCTCTCATCCGAGGTGGAGGGCGATACACGCGATCTCGACGTGACAGATGAAGTCAACCAGGAACTAGACGTGAGTGGCAAGAGGTGGGGGGTGGCAGCCCAGATTCCCATGGCATGCCAGTGCTGGTCGCCTGTGCTTATCAGTAATGCTGTTGCATGGCCCCAAGCCCTCCCACTCCCCCGCGCCTTGTGACAGAGCGCTGGGTCGGATGCTGCTCAAAAGCAGGCAGAGGCAGACAGGTTGCGAGCCGCAGAGCGCTTCATGACGGTGGGGACCGGGGAGGCCGAGTGCAAGGGGTGTGGCTACACCTACGACCCCAAGAACGGTGACCCTGACTACCCAGTGTCCAAGGGCACACAATTCCAGGTGTGGGGGAGTGTGTGGAAGGGGAAAGGGAGGTGCATGGCTTGCACAGACGAGCGTCAAGGAGGTGGGGCTGCCGATGATTATGTGAAGAGGAGGCCGAACCTGCTTGCATGAGCGATTGTGCATGGCAGCGACCAGTTCCCCTCCCACGCCCACATGCACTCCTGCCTTTACCACCTTCTCCTCAAACACCTGCTCACAGAATCTCCCAGACGATTGGCAGTGCCCTGTGTGTGGCGGCCAGAAGGATATTTTCATCACCAAGCAGAAGGAGGTTGCAGGGTTTGCCGAGAACCAGGGCTATGGACTGGGGGCCAACTCCATGACTGGCGAGCAGAAGAGCCTGACGATATTTGGGTCCCTGCTCTTCTTCTTCGTCCTCTTCATCCTGGGCTACTTTTTGAACTGAGCGTGTCCATTATTGTGGTGGAGGTCTGTGTGGCAGTCACCCTTGGTTGTTGTAGAACTACCAGAGCACAGGCAGAGGCAATCCACGGGTCAGTGGGAGTGGCCAACCCTGCCTCCCAGGAGCACCTTCCTTCACTCCCTCGGCCCTAAAGGTCGGCGAAGAATGCGCCACTGGACTGCTTCTTAGCCACTTGCTTGCTGGGGATACGGTGAGCCCCCTTCCCTCGCCGCCGCTTCCTCTCCCAGGCATCCCCCTCGTCTGAAGAGGAGGACTCCTCGCTGCTGTCGCTGCCCTCGCTCGCGCCCTCTGCCGGCCCCTCGTCGCTGCCGGGCTCGGCACTTGAGCCAGACCCAAGCGCGTCGGCCTCGGGGCTGGCACTAGCCTCTGCCCCTTCCAGGACGCCCCCCCTCCCCTCCTCCGCTGGTAGACCCCTGGACATAGCGCCCTCCTCCTCCTTCTTGCCCCCCTCCTCCTCGCTTTCCTCCTCGTCGGCAAGGTCCCACAGCTTCACCGTCTGGTCGTGAGAGGCACTCGCTAGCATCTGTCCGTCGCTCCTCAGCGCCAGCCTCTCGATGGGGTAGTCTGCCGGTGAGGATGGAAGGTGGGGGGGATGGGTGGACTTAGAGGATACGACAGAGGAGACGAGGCCGCCACGCTTGCTTCATGTGTTTCCAAGCTGTCTCTACCCATAGAACAGTCAGAATAACAAATCAGAGCAGGAAGGTCAACACGCCCTGTTCCTTGAACGGATCCCAAAGACGGCTGCCCCTCCTGGACCCAGCACCAGCATGACCCAACCACTCGCCCCACCCACCCGCATGCTCCCCCAGCACTCCGACGAGCTTGTTGGGTTGGAGGCTGACGACACGCAGCATGCCGTCGCTGGACCCTGTGACAATGGTGTCCTCATCAAGCTTCACCATGGCTTCCACCGACTCCGGGTGACCTGCAGGCGGCCAGGCGGAGGGCCGAGAGCATCGGGCCGGTGATCACTGCATCGCATCCCGCCTGTTGGAACGCAGCCCCACACGCTCCTCACACGTCCCACCCTGGGTCAAGCCCCTGCCCCAGCTGCCGGATCAGCAGGGCTTGGGCCTTGCGCGTGCCATGTTCTCGCCGGTCAGGTCAGTGGCCCCAATCACCTGGGAATCGGTCGCTGCAGTCGTTCCAGTAGCCCCAGCTCCAGATATTCAGGACGCCTGTGGTGGTGCCACACACGACCTGCATGCAGTGTCGGGTGGGCAGGTTTGGGAGGGCATTTCGATCGCAGATTGCCATAGCCACGGTGGGAGTGCAGCAGGGAGCGTCTCCGTCGGGGCTAAAAGGGTTGGAGGGATTGCTGCCCCTCCCTGTATGCCAGCGAGCAGCAGTATTTTGTGCAGTGCATGAGAGCAGTCAGCCCCACTCGCCCATAATCCTCCTCCACATGAAGGAGGAAGAGATGGCAAAGGGTCGGTGGAAAAATACGCCGAAAGAGGTGCACACCTTGCGTCCGCTCTTCACAACTACCACAGACAGCAGCTCGTCATCCACGTCATCATCGCTCTTGTTCTTCACCTGCATCAGACGGAGGAGGGCATGGCATGAGTGGGGAACGCAAGTTCCCAGAGCAGCCGGATACCTGCGCCAGTAGCAGTCACCCCTTGGCGACGAAAAAGTGCCCCTCGCACGAGCCAGGCCCTCACTCAGGCCTCCCCTCGCCCCACATCCCTTCCCAATCTCGCCATGCTGCATGTAGCTCACCTTCTTGGCCCTGGGGTCCATCCTCGCCAGCGTGCCATCGCCGCTGACGGAGAGCAGGGACTGCTGGGGCTCGTGCCAGGTCATGCCCGAGACGTAGTCCCCATGGGGCGTCCAGGTGTGCACGGCCTGCATGCTGCGCAGGTCCCAGACCTTGACGGACCCTCCCTCGTCACCTGGGAGGAATGATTGAACGGGGAGGGGTTCAGGTTCCAGTTCTTGCAAGCGCCTTGAGGGTGGCTACTGTGCATGGGCCTGCATGCGTGCTTTCTTGTCGTGTGGGGTCGGGCACTTGGAGCTGTATGGGACCATCCTGGATGCAGGATGTCCTTATGGAATGCACTTCTTGACACTGTAGACCCCCCTCATAACAATTCGAAAGCCCTGCCTCCGAGCTCGTACCGCATGCCACCATGCTCCCGTTCAGAGGTCGTGCGCAGGTCAGGGAACCGTCATGCGCAGTGGGGAGGCGGCTGGACACCTGGCCGGTCTCCACGGCCACCAGCGCCAGATCCCCCTCTGACGAGGCTGCCAGGACCACCTCAGAGGAGTGGGCGGAAGGGAACGTCAGGGCGCGCAGGGATGCCCCTGGGAAGACCTCTACGCAGCTCAGGGAGGATACGCCCTCCTCTGAAATGGTGTGCAGGTGCAGGCTGCCACTGATGAGGGCCCCGGCCAGCACGGACCGTGACGGGTGCCAGCCGACATCCTGCGGTGTGGCGTCGCTGGGACCATCGGGGAGGGGAGAGTGCAGCGCAGATGGGTTTTCAAGACGGATGCCACACCGTTATAAAGCACTGCGCGCACCATGATGTCGGCGCCAAAGTCCAGGGTGTGGACTGGAGACCCGACCATGCTGGGCCTTCCTCCCGACGATAGTGCTCAGAGGCGGATACAGGTATGCATATATGTGAGACGTTATAACATTTCCGCTCTCCGTGAGGATATCTCAATCTCACAACGACGCCTGATTGCGCATGGAAGTTTTCTGTAGGCCATGCATTTCCGAACACCGGATATTTAGGGCGCGAGATCCCTGAGGGCAAGGAAGGCGGATGAAGCCTGCAAGATCCGTACATGATTTTCTTCTCGACTGGTGCAAGATTCCGTTCTTTAATAAGGGAAAACTCACCCAATTCCGAGGTAGGCGGGAAATGGGAAGCTTTCCAGGCTTTGCGCGGGGTAGCGGTTGCGAACACACAGAGCCCTAATAGGTGCGCATTCAGTCCCACCGATCACGTCCCTCGCTTGCCCATTCGCTGCAACAAAGCGGTATCTGAGCGCGGTATCGCCGCAATATAATCTCCAGGATGTCCAAGACGACCGCGCTGCTCGACGGGGCGGAGGTGCAGCCGGAGGAAGCCACCCACCCAGGTCAGCAACCGCGGGTGCGGCCCTAGTGGGTGTATGATCATGACCGCCGTCAAGCGCCTCCTGCACCTCCAGCCACCTGCTGACACAGACGATGGCACTTCAGAAGAAGAAAAGACCACCCTGCAGAGGCACATCGAGTTCTGGGTACGCCCTGTTTGTGTTTCTGGGGTCAATGCCATGTGGGTTCTGCCATGAGGGTTTTTGGCTCTGTCTTGCGGGCCAGCCCACTTTTTGGCAAGAGTTAAGTCATGTAGGCTCATGTCATGACTCATTGTCCATTAGCTTAAAGTATACTGACGTCCGCTCGGCATACCCCACAGGATCCCAAGGGGACGGGGGTGATCTGGCCGCGGGACGTCTACGCCGGGTTCCGCCGTCTCGGTTTCTCACGCGCATTCTCCACAGCCATCACTCCCATCATTTCCGGCGGACTGTCCTTCAATACCCAGACCAGCAAGATCCCAGATCCGCGTGAGTCCTCTGGCCTGGGGGGTTGGTTGGTCCAGAGTAAGCGCCCACAGCACTCTGGGGACAAACCGGTGCTGTCTCAAAGTGCCGCGCAGGGCTGGCAGAACCAGTGCATCGCCAAACCCCCTGCGACCCCTTGCCCGCTCCTGCAGGTCTCCCCGTCTACGTCGAACGCATCCACTTGGGCATTCACACCAGTGACACGGGATCTTACGACGCCAAGGGTCACTTTGACTCCAAGAGATTTGATGTGAGTTCCTGGTTGGCCATGCTGCCACTGGCTCAGTACATATCAGCATGTACGCTTCTGAGGGCGTGGCTGTGTGTTTGGAGGGAAGCCAGATGGGTATGGGCAGGTTTGCCCTGGCGTGCAGCCAGAGAGTTAGCGTGAGCTCCCTAATCCTCCCACAGCAGCCAAGCCTGCAGCCCGTCTGGATCATGACCTGAAGGTGGCATCCTCCTGAGGCAAGCTTCCCACTATGTCGCCCCCACGCAGGAGGTCTTTGCCCAGTATGATATCGGGAACAAGGGCGGCTTGACACAGGAGGAGGTCAAAGCTCTGACCAGGGGCCAGCGTGAGCCCAAGGACCCCAAGGGCTGGACTGGATGTGAGGCCGGCATGGGAGAGGTGCTGACTGGGTGCATGCCGCGATTGGAAAATGGGTGAATGATTGAAAATCACACCCAGGATAGAGGCAAGTGAGGCCAACTTTGTGGGATCAGGGGCTGTCCATACACCCACCTCCCATCAGCCTGGATCGAATGGAATATCAGCTTCCACCTGGCAGCGCGGGAGTCGCCTGATGGCAAGCTCCTGCTGTACAAGGAGGACCTTCTGGGCATCATGGACGGGACCCTGTTTCCAAAGTGCGCTTGGGTTGGGGGAGATCGGTGCCCTGGGTGGGTGAAGGGGCATGTATGGCTGTTCCCCGCGTGCCTCCCCTGCCACTGGGCCATGCCAGGTGTACAGAACACTCACTCAACCAGCCAGTATCATCCGACACTCCCACAGAATCAGCAAGGAGGTGGCGGAGGGGACGTGGGTGCGCCATGGTCACTTATCCCCGGGCCTTCGCCGTCCCTAGGGTTGACCCGAGGCCTGTCGGCAGCCAGCCAGCCTGAGCGGGGAAGGATGCTGGCACTGTAAAATACCCATGCAGACTATCACTCAACCCACCTTGCTGGAGGAAGTAGGAGAATAGAATCGATTTAGGTTCTTGTCGCACAGCATGAGAAGCAGCTGCGGTTGATCTAGCCGCTGTGGAGCTTGTGCTTGCCATCCAGCTGCATTTTGCAAAAGTGTTTTGCACATTGAGAAGCCACTGTCATCTACCATTTCTAGTCATGTTGCTGGGAAGAACCAAGAACCATGCATCTCTTATCCTTCGGGGGAATCCTGTAGCATATATATCATAGCCGATAAAGGAAATGGCTGCCGGTCTGCTAGTCAATGGCAAAGTGTCCGATTCGTTGGGCAGCGTAGGAATGCTCCAGGAAGCTGCATGAAGTCACGGGGCTTACTAACCTTGTGAGGGACATCCTTCCAAGCTTCGCCCTTGCAAACGAGCTAGAAGCTCACCACAAGCTGTCAATACAGTATAAAAAGGCAAGTGTTGTCACCTCGGGGAAGCATCGTCGGTTGTTAAGGTGCCGAAGTGTGTCGAATACTTGTCACTCAGGGACGCGACTCTTGATTGCGGATGACCAAGCCCGCGTGTCTGGACAGCGTTAACCCCGAAACAAACGTCTATCTTAATACCTCCTGTCATGAAGCGCCCGTTGGCAAACCCTGATCCGATAGGTCGAGACGAGGGTGGGTCGACACCACCAGAGACCCCAGGTACAGAGGCGTGACCTGCGCTTTAGATCACAACCTGGTGCGATACCCAATCACGAAGTGTTCACAACGTATGGCACCATCCCAATTCACACAGTTGCATTGGTTCCGCCGTGCTCAGTGCCGAATGCTCCGCCACCACCGAGGCTGAGCGGGACATGTCAACAGGCGGGCACGGCATCACGGGGCGAAGGCAGCATCTCCCTGGAAACCTCCATTGCCTGGGTGAGAGAATGTGCGGCAGTCACTCCAGGAAAATAGTTGTAATGCCAATGATCTTCCCTCCGAATCAGAGCCTACCCATTCCGTCGCATTTTCTGCAGCAATATGAATGAATCATAGAACTCTTTTCTTTATCACACACTGATATGTCCTGCCAGCACCACTTCGCCCAGTGTGCCCACTGGTCAATCACAACATAGTATATTGCTTTTGCATCCCCAATATCTACCAATAAGCCTTTGTAGAAGACCATGCACCCAAACATTGTTGTCAAGTAGTAGCCCGCAATTGCACGACAATCTGCACAGACTTCTTATTGTGCGAAGAAGAATGTGTTGAGGAGGGTTCCGACTGGAAGGTTTTCATTTCAGTCATCAGCACACTGGGGATGCATGAGAACAGAAGCTTGGGTGGTGGATTGTCAGACTTGGTCCAGCATGTCTGCACGTGTTGCAATCAGCGGCCGGCATTGCTTGCCCACATCATTATTACGGACGTACGTAACACTTTGCTTCGGACAAATCGAACGACAATAAAGCAATTTGTGTCTTAAAAACCATAGATAAATATTAAATCATTGCTTGATTTCGCTCACAATTACGGCGGAGTAGCGCTGCGTGCGGTGAGAGCCCCCTCTCTTTCCTCGCATGAATGTCTCGGGAAAAAATCCATCCACTGGGAGACTGAGACTAGGTGTCAGCCCTTCTTTAACTGTGAAGCAATCCCATACTTGTCACGCTACCTATCCTTATAATGTTTTGAAGGACTCCAGTGGTCCGGGTCCCGACCGACTGGCTGCAGGAGGTGGCACCATCCTTGATGGTCAGTTTTCGGCCTTCATGCAGCTGGTCAGACTGTGTCCAGGGACGACCGGGGTCGGGACACCCCCATAACTTAAAACTGACATACTCTGTAATCGCCCCGCTGCCTTCCCCAGTCGCAGATAGTATAATTATTATTTAATTGGTGGGGTACGACTACGTTCCGTAGGGAACTCCGTCTGAGGGCTAAGAGCTCGCCTAAACGCACCGCACGCCGGCTTCCTCCTCAGAACTCTCAGCATCCATGGCTTGCCCACCGGTGACTCCACGCTCCTCTGAGCGCATGATGCATGGCTCGGCTTGCCTGTCAGATGCATCGGAAGATGCGTACGGCACGCCAGGTACGTGGAGATGGGGCATGAGCTGGACCCGGGCATCGCGAGACGGGCACCTCCACTCCTGCCATGGCCACACCCTTTCAATTAAATTAAACGCAGGCAGCATCAGCACCCCTCTTGCTCCTCCCCCCGCTCCGCGTGGGGCGCGGCTTGAGCCTTGGAAGGTCCTCCGGGATGCCGCCCCCGACTCGTCTGAGAGCACGTGCAGCGAGGACGTCCTGCACACTTCGATCGCATGGGTCCGAGAGGTGGCCAGGCGCGTCTGATCTGCCCCCAATCGTCGTTTGCGCCTTCGATTTGATGGAGACTGCCTGCAGTTTCTCCGATACACAATAATTTTAAATCCCTTCCTGTTTGAATTCAAGCTGCTCTCTGTGTTCCCTCCCTGTCCCCACCCCATCCACCCCCCACCCATCATTGCTGCGATTGCTACCCCATTCTTGCAGCTTCCAGCGTGAACCTGTTTCTTCCCTAAAATTTTTGCCTTTTCCCCCTTGTCATTTCCCAAGCCACACTTACCCTCTCAAGCTTCGTGCTGTCGCGCATTGTACAGCTCCCCATGCATTGCCATTCAGCCCATGTGTAAGGCACCACAATCTCCGGCTGGGGGTGCGCTTGGTCAGTACCGCCGCCCCCTCCCGCGAGGGCCGCCCCTCCCTCGCGCAGCGGGGCGCCGTGGCGGCTGCAGCTCCGGCGGGGCCGACGCAGGCCCTGCCGTGGTCGGCGGTCCCTCCACCCAGTCCTCCCAGCTCTTCTGGGCTCCGGCTGCCTGCTCCTCGGCCGTCCCACCGCCGGCAGCCCTCCTCCTTCGCTTGCGAGCCGAAGCGCTCGCGTCCAGCAGCAGGGGCGGCCCAGCAGCGCCAGCGCCAGTTAGCTGGGCAGGGGGCGGTGCTCCGGGCTGCGTACTCGGTCTGGGTGCATCTCCTTGCGAGCCTGCAACTCCAGCAGCGGGCCGGGGTGTGAGATCTGAGATGGCAGGCGCGCCTGTGGCTGGATCAGCGGGCGGGCCTGAACTTGTTGCAGCTGGCGGGCATGTGGCTCGGTCCGCAGGCCCACCAGCAGCCGCCTCCGCCGTGTCCAGCACGGGGACGTGCGCTGCTGCTCCGGCGAGCCCCTTGAGCGACCCATCGCACCGTCGCTGCGCCATGCTTCCCGCTGTCCCAAGCCCAGATCTGCCAGCTCCCGGAGGCACCGCGGCTGTGGCTGCCTGCCTCGCATGCACGGCGAGGAAAGCAGGCTTGGTGGTGGGCTGAGGCAGGGCAACAAGCGGGGGATGTGCAGGGGCGGTCGCGCAGCGTCCCGGCGATGCTCCTCCTCTGCCAGGTCCTGGCCGCGCAGCCGCGGCCAGCCCTGTCCCTGCGGAGGGTTCTGGGCGCGCTGGGACGGGCGTCGTCGCTGCTCGCGCACGCTCCTCCGGCTCACACCGGGCCGCCCTGGGCTTCAGGGAGAGGGCGGGCAGCGCGTGTGCGAGCACCCGCGGGCCAGGCTCTTCTTCTGGCGGGGCAAGGGGCGGCTCCCTCATCAAGCCCAGGCCCACAGAACCCCTGACCACCGGCTCGCCCAGGTCCTCCCCCTCCTCCCCGGCCGCCAGGCCGTCGCTCGGCCCACGCGGCGCGTGTGGCGCGCGGCACCCGCTCCCCTCTCCCGGGGCCCCTGCCAGGTCCACCTCGACGGCGAGCCACTGCACGGCCGCGTCCGGGTCGCGGTCGGACCCCGGCAGCGGCTGCAGCAGCCAGCGGTCGGAGGCGGCGGCAGCGTCGGCCTCAAGCTGGGCCCCGGGCTCGCAGGCCAGGGCCGGCACGCCCCCCGCCGGCCAGGCACAGCTCAGCGCGGCGGGGAGGCCCGCCCCCGGCGCGCCGGCGGAGGCCGGGCGCGCGCTGCGCGGCAGCGACGGCGCCAGCTCCATGACGGTGCCGTAGACCCCCACCACGTCCAGCAGCAGCTGGCTGCACAGGACCTGCGGCGGCGGTGTGGGTTATAGAATTGGCATAGGGGTGGGGGTCGCGGGTCGCTGGTTGGAGGGGTGACGGGGGGAATACATGATGGGGATCAACCGGCTACGGGCGTGTCCTTGAGCTGTCACCACCCCGACCACCAGGGAGGCGAGCGCGCGCGGGCCCGAGAGCACCCACCCAGATGCGTCCAAGGAGGGACAGGCAGGTGAGGCACAGCGGCACGAAGAAGGTGAGTGCCAGCTGGGCCGCCAGCTGGCGCGCGGCGCGTTGCAGGGCCCCCAGGAGGCGGGGGACGAGGCGGGCGGCCGCGAGGAGGCGCTGCAGCACCGACATGGCGGCCTGGTGGCTGGGGAGGAGCCTCTGCTCGTGCCTGCACCAGGGGCAGGTGCATGTGGATGTGTTTGTATGTATGTGAGTGAGGGGAGGCTTCAGCGTGAACTGCTGGCGTCGCATGCACACTTCAAGACAGCACGATCATGCTGGAACTGCTGCGCCTGGGACCTGTGCCGTATCACTCACCCGAGCGACAGGTGCATGCTGATGGTGGGGAGCGCGTGGCGGCTCGCGCCGGCCTGCAGGGCGTCGTGGAGGGCACGCAGCGCGGCGTCCAGCTGCAGGGATGCCAACGAGCGCAGGCCCCGCCTGACCTGCGGGGAGGGCATGGTGGACTCTGAAAATGTGCATGATGGCCGTGTGACGATTCGGACAACATGAAGCCTGGTGGCGAGTGTGACTCACCTCGCGCAGCTGCTGAAAGTATTTGGCGTGCCGGTGCTGGTGCTTGTTCCGGTACAGCAGGCGGTCCAGCACCATCGTCTCCATGTCAAGCATGGGGTGCACGAGGGGATTCTCCTGTTGGGAATCGTACAGGTCATGACCTGGATTGTCTTGCTCGAGAGCATCGATGGCACAGCAGCAAAATCTCGGCACTGTACCTTCGTGCCCGTCAGGCCGAGGCCCCGAGCGGCCGGGGCGTGCCGCGCCCAATCGGACGTCACTGTGCAGTGTAGCCGCTCCAGCACCACCATTTTGCTTTCGTTTTCCACAACAAACCATGGTGGGATGATCTGGGTCTCCCCCATGCGCTTGCGACCGACAAGTACCTTGCTCACCGGCGCGCCCGCGCCCGCTTTCCTCGCAAAATACCGAATCTCCCCTTAGCTGTCCAAACCTGACGTCGCAGGGCACGCCAAGCAGGCTGCTCCAAGGCAGCCCGATCAGCCGACTTCACTCCTGCGCAGCGAAGCACGTGATTGTAACAGCTCGGGCATAGCCCCGCGCGGTTAGCAGGTCCCAGGAGCGTGGCGAAGCGCGCACCTCGCCAGATAGCGGAAAGGCCCCGTCCCGGACCTCCATGGCCATCCATCGCCCGCCCTGACTTTTGGACTGGATCCGGGCCTCGAGTTTATCCCAGCTATTCGATTTCTGCCCGACGACCGTCGGGATCTGTCGGTGCGTGCGTGGTGGATTGCCCCTGGACCCTCACTCAAGGTTGGGTGACGTGCCAGCCCCATATCCCGGCCCACGCGCAGGCCATGACATCGCTGCCGTCCCCGCTGTCGGCCTGCCCCGACCCCAAAGTCGCAGACCTGGTCCTGGCGGTCAGGGCCTGCCCAGAGAGCGCCGGGGCGTGGTGGGCCCTCCTGGCCTGCCTGGAGGCCCGGCCCCTGCCCGGCCTGGACCTGCTGCAGGTCTACACGCAAGCCACCCATGCCGTGCCCCGCCAGGGGAACCAAGGCTCCGACGCCTACGTTCGTCTCTGGCTGGGCTTTGCCCGCCAGCAGTGGTGCGTTGGAGTGAGCTTGAGAGAGGGCATGTCGAGCGACAGTGGGCCCACTGCACCCAGGGCGCCCTCAGGGTTTTTGAGCGTCATGCCGGGGTCCAGGACCCGTGCTCTCCCCCACCTCCCACCACCACACCCCGCACCCCCACCCCCCCCCCTCCCCCGCGCCTGTATCATCCAGGCACCGGGATTGCGACGACGCGCGCGACACGCTGAAGACGCTGCGCCGTCAGGCGATCGGGAGCAGCTCCCCCCTGCTCTTCCTGGAGTGGGCGGCGCTGGAGTGGGATTCCGGCGCGCGGGACCGGGCCTCCGCCGTCCTGGCTAAGGGCCTGCGGGACGGCGCCCAACCGCCGGCCGCGCTGGAGGCGGCCCTGGCCGACGTGGCGGCTGGGGTCTGGAGCCCGGTGCCCCTCTGGCAGCAGTCCGCCGCGTCGGCGGGGCCGCACACGGCCGCGCTGACCTGCACCGCCAGCACCTACGAGGCCTTCGTGACCCCAGGCGCCGAGGCGGAGAGACCCGCGCGGGCCAGCCACACACACACACTGGTGAGCGCGGCCTTGCTGGGACCAGGCTATCCCTTTCATGGGTGTGGGAGAGGATGAGGGCTGGTGTGATATGAGGAGGGTGCGGTGCGCGGCACCTGCCTGCACCCCAAGCATAGGCTTGATAACAACGATTCAGGGCAGCGGGAGGCGCCCCGATGCAGGGCGCGTGTGGCCCTGCCGCAGCGCCGCGGCGCCGTGGCGCTGGGCCTCCTGAGGCATGTGCGCGCCCCGATACTTCCCACGCCCCCGCCCCTGAGACCCTCCTGCATGCTCACCCCCACACAGGAGGCCCTCGTGCCCTCAGGACTCCCGCCGGACTCTGGCGCCCCTGGCCGGCCCCTCCCCGGCTCCAGTCTGGTGGACCGTGGGGCAGCATGCGCGGGCGTCGAGGCGGCCCGGGGTCCCGCGCTGCTTGCCCGCCTCTGCGCCGGCGCGCCTGGCTCGGCGACCGGCCCTGGCGGTCTCGGCCAGGGCGCCGGGGCGCCGGGCACCGCGCTGAGCCGCGGCAGCGCCTCCTCCTCCTCCTCCAGGGGCTCCGAGGAGGCCACGGTGTGCATGGGCGGGCGGCAGTCCGGCCCCGGCCTCAGCCGCCTCGGCGGGGCGGCCAACGAGGACACCATCGTCGTGCGGCGCTGCCTTGCGCGCCGCACGCCGCAGTCCGCCACGCTGCCCCTGCAGCGGCCGGGATTCCTCACAGAAGGCCCGCATGTGGAGCCCGCAGAGCCCGCAGCGGCGACGCCATCGGCAGCGGGGATGGCAGGCGCGAGTAGGATGACGCCAGCAGGGGGGCATGCAGCAGCGTCGGCGACCCCGAACGAAGCACAAGCTCCCGGTCCTGCACGGGGCAGCCGCGCCGCGGCGGTGCCAGGAGGATCGGCGCCTCCCTTGCCGCCCGTCGCAGAGCGCAACCTGCTCAGGCCGCGACGCATGGGTGAGTGGAATGGGGGTGCTGGGCTGGGAAGGCGGGTCGAGGGGGAGTGTGGTGTCGTGGAGACTCTGCCGATTGCTCAAAAGCGGCACAGACTCACCCTCCCACCGCCCGCTCCGTCCGTGACATGCAGGTGTGCTGGGGAGGGCGCTGCGCGTGGCTCCTGGTTCAGACTCGGCGAACGAGCCCGCGGCGGGGGACGCAGCGGCGGCAGGGAAGGAGACTGGGACCAAGGTCGGCGAGGCACACACAGACATTCGGTCGGCAGGCGAGGCGACGGACCTGAAGCGCAAGGCGGCGGCGCCAGGCGCAGGAGGGGAGGCGGCGTGCAAGCGTGCCACGGGCCCCCCGCCCAGCCCCGGCGACGCGCCTGGCGGCAGCCGCGGGCCCGCACTCGAGGCGAGGGGGCGAGCAGACGCAGGGCCCGGCGCCGGGCCCCCTCTCCGCACGCTCGCAGGCCCCAGGCCGGGCCAGCTGGTGCTGGACGCGGGCGACCTGCCGGCGGACGGGCCCGGCGGCGGGTCGATGGTGCGGCGCCAGCCGCCGGCGGTGGACGAGGAAGAGACCGCGCCCGTGCTCCTCAGCAAGCTGGCGGCGCGGGTGCGGGGTGGGCGGCAGAGCCTGGCACCGGCCAAGATGCACAGGGTGAGGCTGGTCTGAGCCCGGCGCGGGAGGGGGGCCTGGGACTCGTGCCTTGAATGGGATCGAATGTGTCTGCTCTGCGCCGTCCTCGGTCTAGACCTCACAGGTCGTCCCCTCGCACGCCCATCAGCCCACGAGTGTCGTGACTTCACCCGCTGGACCCTCCGTGAAGCATCCACACCTCTGTGCCCCCCCACCGCACGCCCACTCACGAGCACAGGTGGTGCTGGAGGCTGGCGAGCAGACGCCGGGGTCGGGGGGCGAGGAGGCGGAGGAGGCCACGCTGCCGCTGCAGCCTGGCGCGGCACGGCGCGGCCAGGTGAATGCCGTCCCGGCGGGCAGGGGCGACGTCGTCGTCCGCGGCGGCACCACCCTCCCCGCAGCCGCCGGGGGCCGGCCTGCGGTGCCCCGGGGCCCCGCCGCGGAGAGCGACGCGCGCCCGGACCCCGCGAGCGACGCTCGCCTGGCCGCTGCGGAGACGGCGCCGCAGCGGCCCTCCCAGGGTCAGCCCATGGGCCCTCCGCCCCCCAAAGCCCCCGCATCCCAGCGGTGAGGGTTGTGTGGGGGGTGGGGCGCGAAGTGAAGACCAGGCACCCGATGCACCGAGAGAAGAGTGTCTGATAGCATGCAGGATCAGGGCCCCGCACTTTCCCTCCCCCGCCACCGGCTCCCACCAACCAGTGCTTCCCTCCGGCACGCAGGGACCGGAACAATGCCAGCCTGGTCTCCTCTGGTAGGAGGGTGGTGGAGGACGACAATACCGTGGTGGTCAAGGGCATCAGCTACACCAAGCTGGAGTGTGTGGGACGCGGGGGGAGCAGCAAGGTGCGACCCCAGTGGTGACGGGGCGGCGCAGGTTTCCTGTTACTGAACCCCCGAGGCTCGGACGAGATCAGCAAGATTGTGTTGAATCCCGAGCAGGACGAGGGAACACCCCACTGACAACCCACCCCCACCCTCTACCACTCTCACGCAGGTCTACAAGGTGATGGCCCCGAACCGCAAGATATTCGCCCTGAAGCGCATCAGGCTCACCGTGAGTGTGTGTTCGTTTGGGTGCGGTGAATCCAGCTACGATGGACTTCCTTGCCGTGGCAAGGGCGAGGGCTGCATGGATTGGGGGGTCTTGAGGTTCTGCTGCGCCAAGGTGTCACCCACAAACCATCAGTTCTCCCCTCGAGGAACAGGGCCGCGACTCCGAGGCGGCGGCCGGCTTCATCGACGAGATCACGCTGCTCAACTCCCTGCGTGGCAAGTCCAACATCATCCAGCTCATCGATGCAGAGGTGAATTGGGAGGGAGGAGGGAAGCGGTGGCCTCTTCAGTCGCACAGGCCCAGGGAGAGAGGGATGGTTCAGGCCCTGTGCCGGCCGCCTGGCAAGGCAGGGCTGATATTCAGCTCTGCATCCGGCCATTTTCCGCCCTGCTGTCTTCTCGATCCAAGGTTGGCAACCCTCCCCAACCCTCCCATTTCCCACCCCCCGTCTTTCAAAGGTGTACCGGGCCGAGGGCATAATCTTCATGGTGCTGGAGTGCGGGGAGATCGACCTCGCCCGCCTGCTGCAGAAGCGCGAGGCGGCGCGGAAGGAACACGACGGCGGCGCTGCATCGCTCGACGAGAATTTCATCCGGCTGTACTGGGAGCAGATGTTGCGAGTGAGGATCGGAAAGAGGGGAGGGGGGGCCTGGAGGATACAGCCAAGGCAGAGGAGCCAGGGTTCCGGCGCTGCCTTGGCGTGCAGGGGTGAGAGCGTGGTCCAATGGTGCAGTCCAGGCCGCCCTACGCCTGGCCACTCCCCTGTTCAAGCCCTCCCCCACCGCTATCTCCCACCACATTTACCATTCATTCATCACCTCCACCACCCCAGGCTGTGCACACGATCCATGAGGTCCGCATAGTGCACTCCGACATCAAGCCTGCCAACTTCCTGGTGGTGGAGGGCCAGCTGAAGCTCATCGACTTTGGCATCGCAAAGGCCATCCAGTCCGGTGTGTGTCTTGCGACTGTGGGGGGCGAGGGGTCTGGAGGGCCGCTCTCATGGCCGCCATGCATGTATGATTGGGACGCCCCCGCTTCGCCCTGAGTCTGGGGGAGGAGCGTGCATGACGCAGAGGCCACGCCGAGTGGCGGTGGGCAGCGTCCTTCGGCCTCAGTTGAGGACCCACCCCTCTCCCTGGCGTCACCCAAGCAGTGGCGTGCAGCCTCTTCCTGTCACTCCGCCCTCTGGCTGGCCTGCATGCCCGCCATCCTCACTCCCATCCCTCCCCGTGCCACACACATGCACAGACACGACGTCCATCGCTCGTGAGAGCCAGGTCGGGACGCTGAACTACATGAGCCCGGAAGCCATCCTGGGCGGGCAGAACAACATCAAGGGTGGCCCGCCCATGAAGGTGGGCTGGGTGGAGCGCAGGGTGGGTTCCAGGCTCATGGCTGGGGAACGGTGCCTCGCGTGTTGCAATGTACTCTGTCTGCTGGACCATGTTTGTGTTGTGGCTTCACCTCAAAAGGAATCGGGGGCTGGGTGATGGGTTTGGCTCTCTGCCGCATACCTCGATTCCCTCGATCTCCCAACCTTAAACACCCCAAGTTCCACCCCCGCATGTGCCTTACCCCAACCCTACACCACCCCCGCCCTCACGCAGGTCGGTCGCGCCTCCGACATCTGGAGCCTGGGCTGCATCCTGTATCAGATGGTATACGGCGCCACCCCCTTCAGCCACCTGCCCTTCATCCAGAAGATGCACGCCATCATCGACCCGAGTCACGCCATCGCCTTTCCGCCCCTGCCCAACCCCGCGCTGGCAGAGGTGCTGCGGCGCTGCCTGGACCGCGAGCCCAAGACCCGCGTCTCCATGCGCGAGCTGCTGGCACACCCCTTCCTGCGTCCCGTCACGGCCGCGCCCGAGGGCGCCGGCGGCATGCCCGCCACCCCCGCGCCGCGCCGCGGCCGCGTCGAGCTCAGCGTGGAGCAGCTGGAGCGCCTGATGCTCAAGCTGGCGCGGGCGGGGGTGGGCGCGGGGGGCGAGGAGCTCGCCACGCTCTCCCCTGGGGAACGGTGCCTCGCGTGTTGCAATGCACTCTGTCTGTTGGACCATGTTTGTGTTGTGGCTTCACCTCAAAAGGAATCGGGGGCTGGGTGATGGGTTTGGCTCTCTGCCGCACACCTCGATTCCCTCGATCTCCCAACCTTGAACACCCCAAGTTCCACCCCCGCATGTGCCTTACCCCAACCCCACACCACCCCCGCCCCCACGCAGGTCGGTCGCGCCTCCGACATCTGGAGCCTGGGCTGCATCCTGTATCAGATGGTGTACGGCGCCACCCCCTTCAGCCACCTGCCCTTCATCCAGAAGATGCACGCCATCATCGACCCGAGCCACGCCATCGCCTTCCCGCCCCTGCCCAACCCCGCGCTGGCAGAGGTGCTGCGGCGCTGCCTGGTCCGCGACCCCAAGACCCGCATCTCCATGCGCGAGCTGCTGGCACACCCCTTCCTGCGTCCCGTCACGGCCGCGCCCGAGGGCGCCGGCGGCACGCCCGCCACCCCCGCGCCGCGCCGCGGCCGCGTCGAGCTCAGCGTGGAGCAGCTGGAGCGCCTGATGCTCAAGCTGGCGCGGGCGGGGGTGGGCGCGGGGGGCGAGGAGCTCGCCACGCTCTCCCCCCAGGCTGTGCACACGATCCATGAGGTCCGCATAGTGCACTCCGACATCAAGCCTGCCAACTTCCTGGTGGTGGAGGGCCAGCTGAAGCTCATCGACTTTGGCATCGCAAAGGCCATCCAGTCCGGTGTGTGTCTTGCGACTGTGGGGGGCGAGGGGTCTGGAGGGCCGCTCTCATGGCCGCCATGCATGTATGATTGGGACGCCCCCGCTTCGCCCTGAGTCTGGGGGAGGAGCGTGCATGACGCAGAGGCCACGCCGAGTGGCGGTGGGCAGCGTCCTTCGGCCTCAGTTGAGGACCCACCCCTCTCCCTGGCGTCACCCAAGCAGTGGCGTGCAGCCTCTTCCTGTCACTCCGCCCTCTGGCTGGCCTGCATGCCCGCCATCCTCACTCCCATCCCTCCCCGTGCCACACACATGCACAGACACGACGTCCATCGCTCGTGAGAGCCAGGTCGGGACGCTGAACTACATGAGCCCGGAAGCCATCCTGGGCGGGCAAAACAACATCAAGGGTGGCCCGCCCATGAAGGTGGGCTGGGTGGAGCGCAGGGTGGGTTCCAGGCTCATGGCTGGGGAACGGTGCCTCGCGTGTTGCAATGCACTCTGTCTGTTGGACCATGTTTGTGTTGTGGCTTCACCTCAAAAGGAATCGGGGGCTGGGTGATGGGTTTGGCTCTCTGCCGCATACCTCGATTCCCTCGATCTCCCAACCTTAAACACCCCAAGTTCCACCCCCGCATGTGCCTTACCCCAACCCTACACCACCCCCGCCCTCACGCAGGTCGGTCGCGCCTCCGACATCTGGAGCCTGGGCTGCATCCTGTATCAGATGGTGTACGGCGCCACCCCCTTCAGCCACCTGCCCTTCATCCAGAAGATGCACGCCATCATCGACCCGAGTCACGCCATCGCCTTTCCGCCCCTGCCCAACCCCGCGCTGGCAGAGGTGCTGCGGCGCTGCCTGGACCGCGAGCCCAAGCCCCGCGTCTCCATGCGCGAGCTGCTGGCACACCCCTTCCTGCGTCCCGTCACGGCCGCGCCCGAGGGCGCCGGCGGCATGCCCGCCACCCCCGCGCCGCGCCGCGGCCGCGTCGAGCTCAGCGTGGAGCAGCTGGAGCGCCTGATGCTCAAGCTGGCGCGGGCGGGGGTGGGCGCGGGGGGCGAGGAGCTCGCCACGCTCTCCCGGCAGGTGTTCAGCCAGCTCAGCGCGGGGCTGTCCCCGCAGCTGCCCAGCACACGCAGCGTGGGCAGAGCGGCGCGGGGCGGCGGGTCGGAGGCAGGCGATGGGGCCCGGAGGGGGGTGATGACAGGCGCGGGGCCCAGTCGGCTTGCAGGCGGGGGGGCTGGGACGCCGGACCCCGGTCCTGGGGCCGCGGTCTCGCCATCGACTGATGCCCCAGGCTCGTCTGCCCCGGGGCCGCAAGGCAGTGGAGTGGCCGCCCAGGCGGCGAGGGCGGCCGCCTCGCGGGCGGCGGCGCGCGCCGTCGCGCTCGCCGCGCTGGAAAGCGGGGCGTCCGACGGCGCAACATCAAAGACCACCGCCCCGCGCGCCCCGCTGCACCCCATCTCGCAGACGGCGCTGGCGACGCAAGCGGCTGCGCTACGCCGTGTCAACCCTCAGGCGGCCAAGCCCCGCGCCGCGGAGCCGGCGGCGGGGTCGCTGGAGGACAAGCTGCGGCGCGGCTTGCAGCGCTTCAATTTCGAGGGCGTGGCCGACGCTGCGCAGGGTACCTCCGGCAGCCCCTGAGCCCCAGCATGCATCCGCGACATATTTGACGCTTGTGGGCAAGGTTGGGGGATCCCAGCGCTGGAGCAGACGAGGGGACGGCTGGGTGACCAAATTCGTCCCCTTCCAGCCATGCGTGTGCATGCATGCCTTGCAGTGTGTGGAGGAAGCTTACAATAGGGGAGGGCATGCTCGTCGACCGGCAGCCAGCGACGTGGAGGGGCGTGGGACTGGCACTGCATTGAAGAGCACGTACAGCGAGGCAGGGGAGGGGACACACTGCTCCTCTCAGCACCATGCAAAGGAGACACATTGGGAAAGTGCTGCCCAGCATGAATATGGCCGGAGCCCCGAATGTACCGTGTTGGGTTTGGGACCAGCGGCGCCCCTTTCCTTCACGCCGCGCAGGGGCGCGGCTGCCAGGCGCAGCGGTGCGCCCAGTACGCCCCCGCCTCCCGCAGTGCGTCCCAGCGCGGCTGCAGTGCAGCGGCATGGTCGGCAGTGTACGTGGCGGGCACGAACCGCGCGCCCGGCGACCAGGCCTCGTCCTGTGTGGAGGTCTCCGGCGGCTGGCGCAGGCGGGCATGCACCTCGGCCACCTCCTCCCAAAACTGTTTGGAGGGTTAGATTTCAAGGGATGTGATGTGATGGGGTTGTTCCCTGGGCGACGACTGGCCCCGGGCGAGGCAGGGTGCGGGCTGCAGGCTGCTACAGGTGGAAGGCTGTGCCCTGCTCGCCGCGCGGCGAGCGCCACCTGTGAGCGCAGGCAGGCGCCCATGCACGCCCACCCCAGTCGAACCCTAGCACACACGCTCACAAACACCCACCTTGCGCGCCTCCTGCTCCAGCGCGATGGCCTCGCGCAGCTGCAGCGCGGCCTCCGCGGCGGCCTCGCGCTTGCGCTGCAGCGTGCGGGCCGCCGCCATCGCCTCCCGCTCCTTGGCCAGCACTTTCTGCGCAGGGGGGGAGAATGACGCGATGACCTGGGACGCATCGCATGCCGCGCCTCAGTCTGCAAACCACCGCGCCACGGGCCCCGCCGGGCGGCTCAGCGGGCGCCCTTGCGATGAGAGCAGGGTGGACTTTCTGCCTCCCCAGGACTCAGACTCCTCCCCCCCAACAAGCCACCCACCGCGTTCACGCCCGCGCCCCGCCCCTTCTTCCCCGGCTTCAATGAACTCAGCGGGTTGCGCAGGGGGGCGGGCAGGCCCTCGCCGCCGGGCGTGCGCGGGCTGCCGGAGGCCGCCGCGGTCGCCGGCCGGAGCAGGCACCCCTTGTGCGCCAAGGGGGTCCCACAGTTGCCTCGCTTCTGCCGCACGCACACCTCGCAGCGGCTCAAGCTCTGCGGTGGGGGCCAGCCAGGGGCTCGGGGATCTTTGGTGTGGCGAGGACTGGGCCCTGACGCGGGCCAGGCCCGCAGGGTGGGGGAGCACACGGCGAACGAGCGTATGGCGACCAAGCGCACGACTGCAGGCCACTCAGCCCCCTGTCAACCGTCTGTTTCCCTCGCAACCACCTCGCCACCCTGCACGACGCCCAGCACCCCCCCACACACAAATACAAAAACCTCAACCCACCTGCGCGCGTCCCTTGCCCCGGCCCCGATGCCCGGGTGCGCCCGGCTTGACCCCGGACAGGTCCAGGCTGGAAGTCAGGCTGCCGGTGCGGAGCGAGTCGGTATGGGCGGGCGGCGGCGCGGGTGGTCCGTCGGCCTCGATGGGCGCCGCCGTCGTGGCGTCCGCCGCGCCAAAGGCCGACCAGGGCCCCGCCTCCGAGCCGGAGTGGGGCGAGGGGACGGTGGGCGAGCCCAGCGCCGGGGCTTCTTGCCCCTGCGCCGTCGGCCCCGGGGCAGGCGCCCAGGCACCCAGCCCCTCGGCCGCCCAGGCCGCCACGACGGCGGGCTGGTCAGGCCCGGCGCTGGCGGCGCGCAGGTCGCGCAGCACCTCGGCCGTGGACTTGTACTCCACCGTGCCCCAGCCGTTGCGCTGGCCTGGGGCGAGGCGGTCGCGGATGGCGGCCAGGCCGGCGCTGGCCGGGGCGCGCTCCAGCGCCGCCTCCACCACCGTCAGGCAGCGCTGCAGCGGGTGCCCCGCCCGCGACCCGGCCGACTTGCCCGGCGCCGCGCGGCGGGCGGGCGGGGGCCGGGGCGCGGCGCGCCGCCCGCTGCGCCCGCTGGGCTCGATGCCCCCGCCGGGCCTGGCGGGCCCGGCCCACCACCCGCCACATACGTCGCCATGCTGTGCGGCAGGCCCGTGCGCGCCCAGGCCTGGGCGAAGGCAGCCTCCAGCGCGCCCGCCAGGCGGACGATGTCGGAGGCAGGGTCGTTGTAGGTGCGGCAGGCGGTCCAGACGCGGGCCACCGCGGCCGCGACCTCTGAGGGGGAGCTGAAGCCGCCGCAGGCCAGCCGCGCCGCGATGCTCCCCAGGTCGGCCGGCTCCTGTTCGTGGCGGGGAGTGTTGATGGTGGGTGGTGATGGTTAGATTCGAGTGGTGGGGGGAGCGAGCCACGGCATCAGCGCAAGGGTGGTGAGAGCATCGTGAAGTGAAGTCAGACAGGTGCTTGATGGCTTGCGCCAAGGGGAGCACGAGTGGGGACCTGGCCTCCAGGTCGAGGGCGATGACCGTGTTACGACAGGCACATGCCGACCACCCTCCCTCTACAGGGAGTGTACCTGCAAACCCACCCTGTAATGCAACACAAGAATCCACCCCATACTCCAACCCCAAAACCCAGCCCCAAACACACACACACACACACCTTGACGAGAAGGTGGTAGTCAGGGTACTGCACGGTGTCCACCGGGTGATTAAAGTGCTGCTGCGCGGCGGGCTGCTGCATGGTGTCATGCAGCACCTGGGTGGGCAGGATGGGGGCAGGATTGGCAGGGTGTTCTGGGCCCCCCGCATGCTGTGCACGGGAGGTGGCTTGCAGCGCAAGCCATACTACATCACACTCGATCTCTCCACCACATCTGTAGAACCTCACCTGGGTCACCAGGGCAGTGACGGCAGGGTCCATGGTGCGCCCGGCCACCTGAAGAGTCACCGAGGGCCCGACTTGCGGGCGACACCCGGCCCGACAGGGTCAGGAATTGGCTACAACCATGCAATTAAAGCGTAAAATCGTTAGCACTGGCAGCTTTCGAGCGTGGGCTCGCTGGTCCTACGAGTTGGGGCACACCGGCTGGGGGAGCAGATGGAGGGCTGATGGCGGAGCTGGCTGCGCGCAGTGGCCGTGCTTGAGCCTTTGTGCATGCTATTGAGTACTTCAAAGCAATCGGCGGTGGTGCTCAGGGGCACATGCCGCTTCTGCCCCGCATCGGCAGTCTACTGGAAGATCGCTTCTCGGAGGGGCACTTCCCAAAATCGCGCGCGCGAAGGAAAGATCCGACCCCCGTCAAGGACCGAAACGCGGTGACCGAATGTCAAACGAGGCCATGGTGTGCGAGACTGTGGAACAACCTTATCTTTATTCCTGAACCCCAGTGTGAATTTCGGTCACCCCAAAGGCATGCTGACATGGATCGTCTGGCACTGCTTCCCGGCTGCCCCTCCCCTGGGGAACCCACCCCCATAGCACTGCACAGCTCCGGCGTGATCGCCTGTGGACTGGGAGCCAGCGTGGCCGCGTATGACGTGAGTGGGGACCAGACATGTGATTGGTGGGAAGTACAGCGACCGATGGAGTGCCGAGCCGGCAAATTTGACGATTCTTCCTTGGCCCAAAAAATGATACTCCACAGCCTCAACAGCTGACCCTAGCATCCTGCCTCTCCCTGCCGGGAGCATCCGACCCGGTCTACTCCCTAGCTTGGTGAGTTCGATGCCATCGTGTACCGTGAGGTGTGTGCCAGTATGGAGCCAGTCGAGACTGCAGTGGCGCGCTGATGGCATACAATCACACCCTTCCCCTTGGATTCACCGGAAACAGGCACCCAGACCTACCCGACCCAGATAGCTTCCTGCCGCCCCTTCTCCTCGCGTCAGGCAACCGGGATGGGAGGGTGTGCGTCTGGGACGCAGGCACAGGCTCCCACCTGGCGTCCTGGAAAGCCACGCTGGCCCGGGGCAGGGTCAAGCCCGAGGCCAGGGATGACGAGGCAGGTCTCGCTGTCGTGGGACTCGCCTGGGTCACGGCGAGGCCGCGTGTCCTGGCCATCCTCCTGGCTTCTGGCAGCTTCACCGTGTGGGACACCCGAGGTCGGTCATGGTGAAGGAGGGGCAGGGTGGGGATTGTGTGAAAGATGGGAAGTGAGGAGGGGGGCTGTTGAGTCACTTGTTTATATATTTGCTTTATAGAGGGCAAACGGCAGCATTGCCATGCCGGCAAGGCGATCCGCAATCCCATAGCCTGCATGGCGTGCATGGTGAGCTGTCACATGGTCATCCGCATGGCCCCCTGGCCTGCCGCAGACGGGAGCGTGAAAGTGCAGAAGCAGCTTCAAGCCGGCTGCCTCGGCATGACCGTTGACCCTTGTGATCGACGTCGGCTGTGTGTCTGGGCAGCCAGCGGATCGTTTACCGTACTTTCTGTCACCGGCTCCCAGGAGGTGGGGAGTGGGGAGGGGGGGTGGGGGGCGGCGGTGTCATGAGGGAAGCACGGCTTGGGCTGCAGGGGACATGCCTATACATATGACTCCTTCACGACAGGATGCGGTTTGTAAACATGGCAATCCAGGCATGGCTATAGCCCCACTCTGCCGCCCTTGCCCTCACCACCCAGGTCCAGCAGAAGCAGTTTCAGGCTGCGCTGGCGGCGGGCCAGTCCATGCACTGCTCCTTCTCGGGCTATCCTGACCTCCTCTTCCTCCTCATGGCCCGGGAGGTGAGCGGATCATAGAGTAGAGCGGAATGTGGGAAGCATGATGACCAGGAATATGGACAACTTGCCCCTCACAGAGGAGATGCAGGATGCAAGCGATACTGTGGGTTGTCCTGTTGGTTTCACCTGCTCCATTTGGTGCCTCTTTTGTTCCTTGACCCCCTCAAACCCCACTCCCCACCTTCCCCCCCCCCTCCCGCCCATTCCTCTGCACCTCGTTCCTCCTATCTCCCCCCCCCCGCAGATTCTGGTGTTTGATGTCGAGTACGGGCAGCCGGCGGCCTCCACCCAGCTGCCCCCCGGCATGCGCTCCCCGCTCGTGGCCCTGCTTTCCTCCTACGGCCATGGCGACGCGGGGCCGGACCTCCTCCGCCCCGGCGGCATCGACGTGCTGACCTGTCGCCACGCGGACGGCGGCCTGAGCACCTGGCGGCGGCGCCCGGGCCTCCTCACCTACGCCTGCCTGGGGACCCACCCCACGGGCGCCGCCCAGAAGGCGGGCCCGGCGCTGCTCAGCCACGCGTCGGGGCTGTGGGGCGGCCTCGAGGAAGGCGAGGCGGTCTCCGGGCCGCGGCTCGCACTGCAGGTGGCCGCCGTGGCCCAGGACGGCAGCCTGTGGCAGTGGCAGCAGGCGCTGGTGCTGGGACCGGGGTCAAGTTGCTCGGTGCCCCTGCGCTTCCTTGGTGCGATTTTGTCGTGCGGGGAGAGGCGGGGGTTGGCCGCTGTGCTCGCAGCCCAGCCTGGATCGGGGCTATCTTCTTCGACCTGCCGTCAATGCTGTCTGGGGCTGTGCTCGCTTGACAGGGACCAAGGATAGTCAGGGGTTGCTGGGCCCCGGCCCAGCATGGAGCCCGTCTTGTCCCGCATGGGCGCTCCACACGCTCATGTTGCTGACACCTGGCCGTAGGGGTGCGAAACTGGCACCGGACTCCTCTCGTGACTCTGTATCCTTCCCCACACACTGTGCAGGCACAGCTGCCGGATTGTCCGGCAAAATTGCCGCGCTGGCTGCCTGCCCGGCCCACGTGGGGCTGCCTGGCATGCCGCAGGCCACCTCCCTGTTGGCCGTTGCCTCGGTCACGGGAGACGTCACCCTGGTGAGCATGAGGTCTGCTGGAAGTGATGAGAATGGGGTCTGGAGATGGGGCTTGATTGTGATGTGCAGAGCTGTGGGCTATGGCTTTTTTCAGGGGTTGCTTGATCAAATCCTTTTCCTGAGGATGCTGTCTCAGTGAAGAGGAGGCAAAACCCCCTCCCGCCACTGTCTTGGTACGGCCGCATACCCAACACCACCTTCCTCACATCACCTCGTACGCTGCAGGTGGCGACCCGCCTGGGCATTGGGACCGCCTCGCCCCTGGCCCTGGAGCCCGTCGCACAGCTCAGCGTGCACAGCGCGCCCATCTCCTGCCTGCTCTGGCTGGGTCCGGGGCCCCGCTTCATCAGCTCCTCCACCATGCCGCTGGACCGCGGAGGGGTGACTAATCGACTCGTTATCACAGGTGGGACAAGAGTCTGGTGGGGACGTTGAGGCACATGGAGGAATCAAGGAGTGGGGGAGGTGGCTTCGTGGGCATCGAGCTTGCACTGATGCTGTTGTGGGTGGGGTGGATGGCTCAGCATTGCAAGCAGGCGGCTTAGACTGGAGCGACTTGCAATGCAGTGAAGTAGGCATGACACAGGCATCTACCCCGACACGTGGTCCCACCCGCCCCTCTCCATTCCTACATCAAATCCACCCACCCTCCCTCGCCCAACGCACCCTGCGTCGCCCATGCCGTGACTGCAGACATCCGGAATAGGCAGAGCATCAGCATTCGCACCGGGGTCACAGACCCGAGCGCCTTACTAGGCCTGCGAGCCTCTGCTGCTGGGACCTACCTCCTGGTCATCCTTCGGTGAGTGGGACCTGGCATGCTGGTATGCTTGCCAAGAGGCAACAAATGGAATCAAGACTTTGACTGGGAGCTAATGCCCGGCTGCTCTCCACACTGCATGATCATGTCGGTGCGCCTCACCCCATGCGCTCCTGCAGAGGCGTGCCATCCGAGATCTGGAGAGTTTCTGAGGATGCGCAGCCCGTGCGAGTGCGCCAGATAGACCTGCCCTTTGCAGCTGGTGGGAAGGGGCAAGGAAAGGCCGTTGATGGGGTTGAATGGTCTTCACGGGTGTGAAGCAGACTAGGTTGCTGTTTCTTCTTCTGCACGCAACCTCATGCTCGACCATCTACCCTCTCATCCCCTCCCCTCTCCCTTGCATCTGCCTTCCTTCCCCTCAGTGGCTTGGGCAGGGAACTGGGAAGGCAAGGCTCCATCACATGTGCTGGCCCCGTCACCCCGTTCCGACTCGGTCATTTCAAGGTATGCAGTGGTTCCAAGAGGCACTTGAGCAGGCAGGACAGCCGACAGCCTTGATAAAGACCTCCCAGACGTGCCAATGATCCATGAACAACCCCCTTACCTCACAGGCGCGATGGTCAGGCGCCAGGGGCAGAGGCAAGCAGCACCATGACACCAGAGGGAATGCACGGCGAGGAGCACCTGGCGTTTGCGCTCACGGACGGCAGAGTGGGCATGCTCAGCGTGCGGGGGCGGCGCATCCAGGATCTAAGGCCCTGTGCCCCCCATCACCTCGAGCTGGAAGAAGGAGGTGGGATTGGAAGGGGGGGCCGATTGGCGTGGTGGACAGTGAGAACGAGGGTGGTAGCTGCAGATGTGGAATGTATACATGACGATCATGCCATGAGGTTGGAGGCCCAAGCCAGGGTGAAGTTTGCTGTCATGGATTCAATCCGACAGGTGGCATCCAGGATACCCCTCCTCGTGCAGATGTGACAGAAGCATTTGTTCGCCCATGACACACATGCCTGAACCTTTCTTGACTTGACTTTTGCCAGTGCAATTGCCTTGCTATCGCAATTCCCCCCCCCCCCCACCCCCCACTCAATGCCACCTCTACTCTCCCACAGAGTTTGCTGCCACGGCCATAGCATGCTGGCACCACTTCATCTTCCTTGGAGATGCCGAGGGGAGCGTGGTGCGGTGGGACACCCAGAACGGTCGGTGAGCGACGGTTGCAGTGATGGTCAAGGGCCCATTCTCGTGTGAGGCATGCATTGCAGCATCATTGACGGATGCAGGGCTGGCTGCTTTGGAGTGAAGGGTCCTTGAGATATGCGACGGTTGAATAAGTTACCAAGCGTGTTGTGCCGTTGCCATACACTTCAAATTGCCACTGTGAGGGTGGGTCCCTTAAGGCACCCAGTTTCCGCCGCACAGGTGCGTCACGCTGTCTGTCGCCCGGGGACGAAAGGTCATGGCAATCACGATTGGCCCGCCCCCCAGCGCCCGGCTCCATCCCGAGGCGTCCATGGGTGAGGTGGCAGGGGGCAGACCTGCACGGAGCCTGCGCCTCCTTTCTTTTCCGATGGTGGGTCCACAGGCTCCATCTCCCCAATCCCCGCACCCTCACAGTGGTTGCCCGGCTGGCGGTGCTGGTGTCCGGCGGGGCGGTCGCCATCCTGGATCTGGACAGCGGCGGCGAGCTCCGGTCCGCGCTGAGCACGCTGAGCGCCATGGCGCCGGGCGGCCCAGGCGCTGACCGGGCGGGGGAAGTGGCCTGGCTAGCCCTGCCGGAGCCCCTGGGTGGGTGGGGCGGGTCGGGCTGGGGTGAAGAAGATCGTGACACAGGACTTGTCCATACAGCCGGTCGGGAAGGAAGGGTTTGCCCTGCTGTCAGTCCTGGCGAGTCAGCATGGCCCCTAGATCACCGAGACCGAGATGGTGAACAACCTCCCCGCCCCCTACTTCCCCCCGCCTCCCCCTTCTCTCCAGGAGCTGGGAGCCTGCTGGTGGCGAGCGGGGTCCAGGGCTCGTCCCTCTTCCTGCTGGATGCCGTGCCGCGTGCCGCCACCCAGCTGGCGCCGGCCCGCGCCGCTCAGGTGGGTGAGGGGTTTTCAGCTGTTGGTGGGAGGAGGGGAGGGGTGTTCCGTGAGATTGTCAGGCATGCCAAGCCCCCGGGGTGGGGCCCTGGCGAGATCGGGTCCTCAACATGTATTGTGCCACCCGCGCTCCACCACTTTCTTAAACGTGCAGGTGCGGGCGGCGATCGGGGGTGGCCTACCGCGGCCCCCGCCCTGCGCCGCGCCGGCCTTCCTCGCCGCCCTGCTCTCCGACCTGCTGGAGGCCTGGACACTGGCGGCCGGGGAGTGGTGGCGCGGCGGCCAGGAGGCGGCCCTGCTGAGCACGCTGGGCCCCGAGGCCACCCGCCGCCTGGCCGCCTGGCACGCCGGCGAGGGGGAGGGGGCGGCCGGCGGGCCCGTGGCGGCGGTCGCCGCGGCCATCGCCGCAGCGCGCGGGCTGCCGCAGCCCCTGTCTGCCGGCGAGCGGGCCGCGCTGCGGGGCGCGGAGGGGGATCCGCGCCCCCGGCCCGCCGGCCGCCGCGCCGCCCTGGCGCGCATGTATGGCCGGGCGGGCGCCGCCGCCTTCTGGCACGTGGTCTGCCAGCTGGCGGGCGGCGAGGGTGCGGGGGTGGGTTGGGCGGGCGAGGGGATGGGCGCGGGGGTGGCGGGGGCAGGCGAGGGGACGGCGCCCGGGGTCCCGCCCCGTGCCGCCGCCGACGAGAAGCAGGCCTCGAACTCGGGGGCGCCGCTGGACCGGTGGTCCCACGTCTCGGCCACGAGCAGGACCGCCCCGTCAGAGACCCCTCTCCCTGCATCGGCCCTGCTGAGACCCTGGTCGCGCGCCAAGGAAGCCCAGGCCGCACGGGAGCGCGCCGGTTTCCACGAGCAAATGCCGCGCGGCGTGTTCGAGGCGGACGAGGGCCTGCAGGAGCGGCGGGTGCTGGAGTACCTGGCCCTGGGCGACCTGCAGGCGGCGGTCGGCTTCCTGCTGGCCAGCCCGCCGGACCGCAGCGCGCGCTACTACCGCGACGCGCTGTGCACGCTGGCCATGGCCTTTGCCGTGGGCGACGACGCCGGCACGCGCGAGCGGGGCGGCGCGGGGGCCGGCGACGGGGGGCCCCCGGAGGGGACGCCGGGGTCGACCGCCCCCGCGCCCGCCGCCCGCCCGCCGGTGGCCCGCCTGCTTTTCGCCCAGGCGGCAAAGGTGGTGGCCGCCAACGCCGCCTCGGTGGGCGACTCGCTGCTGGGCGTGCCGCTGCTCTGCGCCACGGGCCAGCCCCGCGACGCGGTGGACATCTTGCAGGACGCCGGCGCCTGGCGCCTGGCGGCGGGCCTGGCGGCGCGGGAGCTGGCCGCCGCCGACCTGCTGGAGGTGGCGGAGGCCGGCGCACACCAATCGGCAGCGCGCGAGGGCCGGGCCTGGGAGGCGGCGGCCGCGCTGGCGGCGGCGGGGGACGGCCTGGGCGCCGGGCGCATGCTCGAGGCGCTGGGGCAGCGGGGTTTGGTGGCGGAGGTCGCTGGGCTGCTGGGAGGGTAGGCGCGGCGGCTGGCTGATAGTAGCAGACCTGGTGCAAATGGGGTCATCGTCGCTGTGTGCGCACGAATGGAGTGCGTCATGCACGCGTGCGAGCAGGGACGTCGACGGCGGCGGCCTGGTGTCGGCAGCACACACCATGCATGCCACCCATCACCCCGTCCGACTGACCCTCGGCCTCCCCCCCTTGATGAGAAGCCTCGCCCAGGGGGAGCCACCTCCCTTTGTGCCTTCCCGTCCCATTCTGGGGTCCAACACAGTGACCACCAGGCACAGCAGACTTGCATGCATGGCACGGCGGAAGAGATTTCACACGAGCGACAGCAGTTCATTCAGAGGGCAAAATTTGTGGATCTGGTTGCAAAACTATTCTTGCGGGCTCTGGCCCGCCCATTCCTCTGCCAGAATGGCAAAGGCCTGTAGCACAGTCGGGTCCTGTTTGAACACCCTCAGCGCTGCCGGTTGTAGCGAGAGATGTAGCGATGCGTCCTCTCGCCGATGGTCATCTCGGAGTGCTGCTCCAGCGTGTCGCCATACCCCGTCAGCCTGAAGTGATCCGAGCAGGTGCCACCCATGGGATCATCCCATTTGACACTGAGGAAAGGGGAGGTGGAGGTGGAAGTGTGACACCTGGCCCCACCTTTCAGAAGTAATCAGGCGGAAGTAGCTGCACAGGAGCGCGTTCAGACGCGTCCCGCTCCTGTGAGAACTGAGATTGATACATCATGGTGAGATCATGAGAGGAGCAGGAACAGGGCCCCACACCATGGCCCAACCACCTCGGCTCCAAGACACAAACTCACTAGACGGTTGGCCCTTGATCGGTCCGCTTCACGTAGGCAGTGTGCTTTCCCCTGCGCTTGTCACGGCGTGGATGGTTGACTGGCTCCCCGGACCAGGGGTACCGCTCCCTGACGTCCAGGATGCCGCCTGCCTTCATGGTCACTTCAAAGGCCTCCTCATCGTCCTTCAGCTGCAAGCGCGGATGCAGGAAGAATTGGTTGCCTAATCTGGGATGCATAATTTATCACGCGAAAGCGGGGTCCATCGCGTGGGCGACAGAATAACTTCAGGCTGTCATTGCAACCACACACGCAAGGGTCTCACCTCCATCCGGGAGATGATCTTGACGGCCGTGCGCAGCACCCAGGACAGGGCCGCCATCTCGCACACTGTGTCCATGCTGTCGCTGTTGGCTTTGTCCTTCACCCACATTCCCGTCAAGCCGCGGGCGGAGGCCATCCTTCGCCTCTGCGCGTCTTGGACGATGGCGTCGAGATTCTGCACGTCCGCTCTGAGAGGAATAAGCCCGGTGCGAAGTTTGTGAGCCGAGCTGCGAGGAAGATGGAAGTTCAGGGAGGCAGGCACGATGCAGTGGACTGGGTAGATGCCGAAGGGCATTCCAGGCCGCGCTAGTTCCGGATGGCGATGCCTGGCGGGACACTTCTTGGGGAACTAGACCCGGTGTGATGAGAGTACTTCAAAGCAGCCGCGACTGGATGGTCCAATTCGAATGGATAGATCACCACCAAGATATTTCTTTGGAGCTATTTGCGGGTACTGGCCATGTAATTGCAGCTGTTACATGGCCGCAGGGTATCGGAGGGTCGTGCCCAATGCCACGCAAGCAGGCGCATGGAAGAGAGGAGGGAGCTCGGGGCCATCGGCACACCTGGGTGAGCCTCAGTGTTTGGTCAGGGCACCTCGAGGGCATTGTCGTCCCTTCAATGCGGGAGTCTCAAGCCCCCAGCCTGAGATGCCCCTCGCGCCCCCCTCGGCAGATCACTCCCTGGTTGACTTGAGGGGTGATCGCCGGCGGAGCCTCCCCATGCCCTGACGCCGGCCATCGACCATGAAGTCTTCTATCAGCCCGACCAAGGCGTTCCTGGGGCGCCTCGGCCGGGGTTGGCGGATTGGTGGCCCCGGCACCCCCCCTGAGCCGGGTCCGGGCTCCCCTCCCGCCCAGGACTCTCCCCCCCCCGCCGCTGGCAAGTCGGCCAGCCTGGAAGCCCTGAGCCCCGCGTACCAGACGGAAGGCTCCGACCCGCTGGACGAGGAGCTGTGCGCTCTGCCCCTGGCCTTTGGCCCCGCCGACCTGGAGACCCTGGCCGAGGCCCGCACCGGCGTACTGGAGGCGGTCAGCGAGAAGCTGTCGGCCCACGTGCTGGCCAACTACGACCGCTTCGTGGGCGGGGTGGAGGGCGTGACGCGCGTGGAGGTGGACGTGCAGGCCGCCTACTCTGCGGCGCGCATGGCGCGCGAGCGGCTGGCCCTGGCGCTGGCGGCCCTGGGCGCCACCATCCGCATCGCGGAGGACACGAGGAGGAAAGGGAGCCTGGCCGCGCTGCTGCAGACCGCGGGGCGGCTGCAGCAGGTCGCCGGCCTGCTGGCCGCCGTCAGGTGACCTTGTATTGGTTTTTCCTATTTTGGGGTGGGGGGAGGGTGATGTTCCTCTGATCGGTGATCGCCGCCGGATGTGCCTTGCAGGCGATGTGGTTGATGCAGTTGTGGGACACACAGGGCAGTGATTGGAGCCCCAGTGCCCATGTCTCTGCATGCTCCGCTGCCCTCGGCTGTCTTGTAAGCCGCCAGACGGGGCCCTTGGCGTGGAGCCCATCCCTCAGCGTACCGTCCGTTCCACGCTTTCCACAGGGACTGCCAGGAGGAGGGCGAGTACGCGGCCGCGCTGGCAACCTGCGGCCGCGCGGCGGTCGCGCTGGGGCGGTGCCGGCGCGCGTCGCCGTCGCGCGCGCGCTGGAGGCCTCCCTGAACGCGGCGTACGAGGAGACGCTGGCGCGCATGTCCGGCGCGCTAGCCTCGGTCTGCCTCGACTTCCGCCCCGGCACCTACGCGCGCGTGCTGGAGGGGTACCTGTACCTGAGCGCGGGAGACGGCGGCGGCGCTGACGCTGCGGAGGCGGGCGCCGACGGCGATTCCAGCAGCGATCTGCGAGGTGCTCTGAGCGACGGCTCCGGCGGAGACGGGAGCACCCCTGGCCCCCGGCCCTCCTCCGCTCCCGGGCCTGGCGGCGGAGGTGCAGTCCGCGCTGCTGGCGGCGGTGGGCAGCGTCAGCGCGCGCGTTGTTCGTGGCGTGCTGCTCACGCGCTCCGGCTGCGAGGCGCGCGCGCGCTCCGCGGGCGGGCTCCAGGACCTTGTCCGCCTCCTGCCCAGCGACCTGTTTCGCACCGCCCTGGCGCGCCTGCTCCAGGTGTTGTTTGACGTGCTGGCCAGCCACCAGGCCATGGTCGCATGGCACGCAGCGGCGCTGCAGGCGCAGGAGGCGCTGGAGGCGGGGCGGGGAGAGGTTGTGGAGACGGCGGGGCCTGCGACGGCCGCCTGTGGGGCAGCAGAGACGGCGGGGGTGTTGAAGGGGGCGATGGTGGGGACCCAGAGTCCGACCCAGGGCGAGCCGGCTAGGGCCAGCGCCGCCGTGCACCACCGACAGACACCACCCCGACCGCCGCGTGGCGGGCGCCGCAGTCCCGAAAACAAAGCGCGGTTCAGCGTCGCGGGCCCGGCGACGCTGGCGCTCCGTCGCGGCAGCTCGGCGCGGGAGGAAACCGAGGCCCGGGCACGCGACGAGGCGGAACGGTGTGCCGTCCTGCACGCCGTGCACGCTGGGCTGGTGGCGGGGCGGGGGCTGGTGTGGGACGAGGTGGCGCGCCACGTGGCCACGCTGCTGTCCAGTCCCGCCGCCTTTGAGGGCGAGCACTTCCTGCAGGTGCTGTGTTTTTGTAGGGCTGGGGGGAAGAGCGGGGGAAGGGACAAGGGCCTGGTGAAGGGGAGGCTCCAGGGTTGGAGGAATGATATTTGGAGTATGGACAGGAGAGACTGGGTGGAAAGATCGGAGGGTCTGGAACAGGTTGCCCATGGATGCCTGCTCACATGCCCATGCTCCCTCCCGCCACCTTTTTCAGTTGCTCTGTCCGCTGCTTCCTTCACCATCCTGCCTGCCACATGCAACCGCACCCCACGCAACTCCTGATGTCCCTGGTCCACCATCCTGCCATTCCTCCTCCAACCCCCTCCCAAACACACACTCACACGAGCGCAGGTGATGGACTGGATGCAGCGCTTCGTGGCGGCAGGCGAGGCGTTCAGCGGGGTGGAAAGCCCCGCGCTGCGCTCCATGCTGCAGCGTCAATCCGGCAACTTCTTCGCCGCCTTCCACGCCAGCAACCTGGAGGCGCTGAGCAGCATGCTGGAGAAGGAGAGCTGGACGCCGTTGCCCGTGGAGCTGCCGGGCCTGCTGAGTGCGCTGGCCCCCCTGCAGCTGGATGGGGCGGGTGGCGTGAGGGGCGGCGGCGAGGGCAGCGGCGAGGAAGGGGCCGCTGGCGATGCCGACGATGTCGGCACCCGCGGCGCGCCCGGCCCCCGCCCCCCATCCGGCACGTCCTTCCAGGCCCTGGTTGCGGCGGGCAACCCGTGGCGGCGGCGGGGCGGCGGCGCCCCCTCGCCGCGCAAGGCAGGGCGGGGCGGGGCGGGGTTGACCCTGGGCTTCGGCGGCGACGCCAGCCTGCTGACCGCGGGGCTGGACGTGGACGAGCGGGGCCACCCGCGCCCGGGGTCGAACGACCCCGCCCAGCCTGCAGAGGACAGCGACGACGACGACGATGCGGGCGCGGGCGCCCCCGCCGCCGAGGAGGAGGAGGAGGACCTGCACGGCGACTTCATCGACGAGGACAGCCAGAGCGTGCGGCGCGGGCCCGGGCCCGGGTCTGCTGGCGGCGGAAGCCGCGGCGCGGCCGCCGTGACCAACACCTCCTGGCGGACGATGAAGTGGATGCGGGACTATGCGCGACTCATGTGGTGTGTGGTGGAGGCCCAGGGAGGGTCCATGGAAGGCTGATCTGGAGGGTCCTGCCTGTGAAGGATGGGAGGTTTGGGGTGTAGGGGGGGCATAGGAGAAGACACAGGGGCGGCGTGTCCAGGTCTGGGCGGCTCAGGCCAGGAGCGATGGATTCCAGTGCCTGGTCAAGACTGTGCTGATAGGAAGGCGCTGCAGAGCTTGGCCGACATCCATTGAGATTGCGGCACGCCGCTGCCTGGGAGAGTGCCGACCGTAAAGACGTGCCCCATGGTCTCCTACCCCCCAAGCTCCTCTCCCCGCTGCAGCACGCTGCGCGCATCTGGGCCGGCCATCTTCCAGGGCCTGACAGAGCTCTACGACCTCTACCTCTTGCACATCATGGCCTGCTTCGACGCCCCCGGCCTTGCCAGGCTGGCGGCGGGTGAGGAGGAGCATGGCGCCGCGCCAAGCAGGGGCCACTCTCACGGCGCAGCCGGCGCCTCTCACGCTCATGTTCCCCCCGGCGCGCCGGGCGGCATGCCGCCCGGCGGCCCCCCGCTGCCGCCGCGGCTGGAGCGGACGCTGCGCCGCATCCTGGCCCGCGGCGTCGGGCGCAACCCCGCGCTCGCCGCCGTGCCCGGCTCGGCACTGGCCGCGGCGCTCGGGCCGGGGCCTCGCTCCAATGGCGGCGGCGGCGCGGGGCTGGGCGCCGCTTCCCAGGCCGCCGTCGGCGAGGCCGGGCCCGGCCCGCACGCCGCGCTCACCGCCTCGGGCAACATGTACGGCCTGGTGGCGCGCAGCGCGGCCTGCGAGTCTCTGTGCGAGGTGGCGGCGCGCCTGGCGGCGGCACGTGGCCCGCTGGCCTCGCTACTCTCCCCCGGCGACAGCGCCGCGCTGGACGCCTTCTTCGGCGAGGGCCTGGCGGCTGCGGGGGACGCGCTGCGCCACGTCAGCGACGCCGGGGTCCGCCTGCTCCTTTCCCTGGGCTGGCTGGCCGAGGCGGTGGCGGGAACCAACTACGCGCTGGCCGAGCCGCCCACGCGCCACCAGCCCTGGGTGGACCAGCTGCTGCGCCAGCTGGGCGTGTTTGCCGACCGTGTCGCACACGTGAGTCACATGGTGCCAAGTGGTTGCCGTGTCGATGCTTTTTATGGGGGGCGAGGTGGGGCGCGAGGAGCTGTGTGTGGGCTTGCGAGGGCTCTCTGCACGGGCCCACGCATCTGCTGCCGGCTCACGAGCGCACCGCATCTTCATCGCCGCCCACCCTCCTCCCTGCACCCCCTGCGCCCCTCCACAGCCTGCCCCCTCTCATCGGCCCCTGCCCTCCCCTCCTCACACCCACGCATCCAAACACACCACACAGGCGAGCGGTCTGTCCCAGGCCGGCGCGGCGCGCGCCTGGGCCGGCGCGGCGGCGCACGTGGAGGCCTGCGTGCTGGACAGCGTGGCGCGCGTGCGCAGCTGCAGCCTGGAGGGCCGGGCGGCCATGACCCTGGATGTGCAGGGGGTGGCACACGGCCTGCGGCGCCTGGCCCCCCTGCCCGTGGGCGCCCAGGCGGGGTTGGCCCGGGCCGACGCGTACGTAAAGGCCTTCTACATCCCGGTGGGGGAGCTGACGCAGTGGGCGCTGGCGCACCCCGAGTACACGCGGGAGCAGGTGGGTGGAGGACTTAGGGTGGTGGTGGAAGGGTCTCGACAGCTGCTCTGGCAAAGGGGGGGGGCGGTCAAATCATGCGAGTGGCGCCGCGAAACCCCTGGTGTTGATGTGCACGCAGGTCCCCTGCAGAGTGCTTCCCTCAGCCTCCTGTTTGATCGCCAGAGGCACGCTCATAGTCCCCCCCCCCATCTGCTCCGGCAGATCCTGGCGCTGACCGCCTGCATCGCGGACAGCAGCGGGCTGCGGCGCAAGGAGCGCGCAGCGCTGCTCGCGCAGATGGAGGCTGCGCTGCACGACCCCGGCAGGCAGGGACCTTGAGGTACCCAGCTCCCTACCTTGTTGCGCAGTGCAGGCGCAAGCTTCCCTGCTTCCTTCTACATACAGACATGGTGGCAAGGGGAGTGCAGCCTGAGTGTCATTGTCACAAAGTGCCCGACCATGTGATGGGGGCGCATCGCCAAGTGCACCCCGCATCGCTCGCAGTGCAACACAGAGTACAGACGCCTAGACGGGGCGGACGGCCTGGGGCGGCGCTGAGCCGGGGGCCTGCTGGGGGAAGCCGGTGACTGTGCCGGTGCCGCCCGGCTGGTAGGGCGGGGGGTACTGTGGGGGGGGCTGGTAGGTCGCGTTGCCGTAGGCATAGGCCGAGCCGTACTGGGGGGCTGCACCGTACTGTTGGGCAGGGTACTGCGCGTTGCCCTGGTACGGTGGGGAGCTCCCGTACTGGGCGCCTGGGCGGTGGGAAGGGGTGAGGAGGTGGGAAGGCGTGTGGAAATTGCAGCAGAGGGCTCCCCCCACATGCATGTGCTCTTGCTGCACCAGCCCCCTGGCCCCCAGATCCAGCACAGTACCCTCGTGTGAGCTCTGCCACGCACCGGCGGGCCCCTCGATCTTGGAGTGGTTGCCAAAGTCCAGGATGCAGGCCACCAGCTGCAGGGTGAAGAGGCCAAAGGCAGCCCAGGCCAGGGCCCACACACTCGTCCTCTCGCTCTTCTGGGAGAGGCCGGCACTGTCGGCGCGCTTGCCGTAGACTGTTGGAGGTGTGGGGGTGGGGGTCACAGGGGTGCACTCAATGTGCTTTGTGGAAACACGGCCTGGCCACATGGAGCGTGCAGCCAAGCTGCGATGCTACCCCATCAGCACGTCCTCCAGGGCCTGCATGCCAGCGATCGCCACCGAGTGCATGCAGTCCATCAACCTGGGGCAAGAGACGGCCCCTCACCAGTGGTCACGACGGCGTAGGGGAACCACCAGATGGTCCCAAAGCCCAGCACCAACACCTCGATCTTGTTGTGCGGCGACCACTGGGGCCGCAGCTTGGAGAACTGCGGGGTCAGGGGAACCGAGTGATGGGCGTGCTGGTCTGCAGATGTGCCGCCGTGGTTGGCGGCGACGCAACCCCCCCCCCAGCCCCTGGCTGTCAGATCCTCTGACACGAGCATCCCTGCCCATGAGCTCCTGGACGATCCGTCCACCCATCCAGACTCAACACCATGAGCCTAGGGCGGCAGGCTTGCCTGTGTGAAGAAGACGAAGAAGGAGAGGAAGATGCTGACGGCACCCACCACGTACCCATAGGAGCACAGGTTGGCGGAGGAGGTGGAGAGGTAGCAGAATGAGCCGGTGCTGTACCACCAGCCACCCCACCAGCCCCCAGTGGTGAACCAGAGGCTCGAGCGGATGATCGAGATGACCGCGATGGACACGCCAGCCTGTAGAAGAGTGGGGCGCAAGGGGGATGCCCCTGGCTTCAGAGGCAAGCTCCTCGAACCTCGCGCAGGCAAGGACATGAAGATGTAAATAAACTCACGGAAGCTGCGGCCAAGAGGATGACGACGATCGGGATCAGTTTCCCCATTTCGACCAGTGCGGGCCCGGCTACTGGGGGTTGCACTCCTCTGCTCGTCGCCGTTATTCGTCAACTGGTGACCCTCGGAAATATCAAAATATGTTTATTGAGCAAGGGCTCACAATCGAGTGAAAGTGTCGGGTGAGGAGCATGCCACAACGCATCCGCTGTGAGCCGGGCGAATCCCTGGCGCTATTCTTGGGAGCTGTGAATGTGGATCCCCCTCAAAGGCTGGGGAACTTCCCCCTTCCACAGACACTCAATCGTTTGTTAAAGCTTCACGTGTTGGCCTGATCTCCATGCAATTCACCTTATGGTCCTCATTGAGCATGTTGCATGATCATCAGCCTGTTTGTTATTTGGCTTGGACACCACACCTCTCACTGAATTGGTTGTCGATGGGGATGATCCAATGCTCAGGGTTAGTCCAGGACTACATCATGGGTCCCTTGTGAAAACTTCACGACCTAAGAGGATGTGGGGGGTGTCATCCTGTGTTGAACACCCATGTCCGTCGCCTCACTCTATTTAATTTAGGCATCCAAGTTTGGAGATCTGTTGGGAGAATAGAGTCGGACGCTGCAATCTCGAGATGACGGATGGAGTGATGTCTTTTACTTCCTGATATGCACGCTGCATGATCATCAGCCTGTTTGTTATTTGGCTTGGACACCACACCTCTCACTGAATTGGTCGTCGATGGGGATGATCCAATGCTCAGGGTTAGTCCAGGACTACATCATGGGTCCCTTGTGAAAACTTCACGACCTAAGAGGATGTGGGGGGTGTCATCCTGTGTTGAACACCAATGTCCGTCGCCTCACTCTATTTAATTTAGGCATCCAAGTTTGGAGATCTGTGGGAGAGAATAGAGTCGGACGCTGCAATCTCGAGATGACGGATGGAGTGATGTCTTCTACTTCCTGATATGCAAAACGGTATGCACATCTTGTAACCCACAAAACACGCGTCTCATGACATACACGGGGTTTCGGCTGAGTCTACCACACTTGGAATGGGTTTAACAGCGAGAATGTTTCTCACTTTTGAAGGTAGGCCCCCAGGACCCTCACGCCACTATTGCGATGACGGCGAGGCACCAGCCACCGGCTCTGGTCGCGCAAACTGCGTAGAACGGGCTCACAATCGAGTGAAAGTGTCGGGTGAGGAGCATGCCACAACGCATCCGCTGTGAGCCGGGCGAATCCCTGGCGCTATTCTTGGGAGCTGTGAATGTGGATCCCCCTCAAAGGCTGGGGAACTTCCCCCTTCCACAGACACTCAATCGTTTGTTAAAGCTTCACGTGTTGGCCTGATCTCCATGCAATTCACCTTATGGTCCTCATTGAGCATGCTGCATGATCATCAGCCTGTTTGTTATTTGGCTTGGACACCACACCTCTCACTGAATTGGTCGTCGATGGGGATGATCCAATGCTCAGGGTTAGTCCAGGACTACATCATGGGTCCCTTGTGAAAACTTCACGACCTAAGAGGATGTGGGGGGTGTCATCCTGTGTTGAACACCAATGTCCGTCGCCTCACTCTATTTAATTTAGGCATCCAAGTTTGAGATCTGTGGGAGAGAATAGAGTCGGACGCTGCAATCTCGAGATGACGGATGGAGTGATGTCTTCTACTTCCTGATATGCAAAACGGTATGCACATCTTGTAACCCACAAAACACGCGTCTCATGACATACACGGGGTTTCGGCTGAGTCTACCACACTTGGAATGGGTTTAACAGCGAGAATGTTTCTCACTTTTGAAGGTAGGCCCCCAGGACCCTCACGCCACTATTGCGATGACGGCGAGGCACCAGCCACCGGCTCTGGTCGCGCAAACTGCGTAGAACGAGTGCCGACCCACGCCGACATTCTTAATCGCTGGATGGAGATGACAAGCTTTTTGGTGCCCCTCAATAGGCCATCGTGCACCCTCCAGTGGCTCCAGAGCATTTGCAAGTTCCAATTAGGGTTGGTCCCGGAGGATACAAAAGGGTCACACTGCCCTCCCAGGCTTGTCAGTGTTCAGCGAGGCTTCGACAGGGCATTGAAAAGTACATGGATATCACAAGATATGTCTCGACACTCCATGCGATTCAGGAGACTAGTTTCGGCGCAAACGGTTGGTCCCACATCTAGCACCGGGATGTGCGTCTGATTTACCCTCGAAGCTGGGAGCAGTTAGGCCACTGTCGGTTGCGGTCCAAAAAGGGACCTTGCACAAGAATCTAGGCTCTAGACGTATCCTATAATCGTTAAAAATATTCCATCATTGACATTGACTGCACATCTGAGGTGCTAATAGCATGTATACAGTCTCACAAGGCCTGGCCCTGCCACAACGAGCAATGGTAAGATTGCCTTCCGAGAACTGCACACAGCTGTCGTCGCAATGCGCGCTCCATCCTGATGAAGTCAGTGTAATTGTCTGCAGGTACACCTGTGTCTCATCCTGGCGATACTGCCGTATGCGCTCTCCACCACGGTTTCGTCCGTCAGCCGCATCGCCGGCGAGGTCAGCCTCGACCCCATAGTCGGCACCGAGCGTCGTATTCTGAACCAGGTGGAAGCCGACGCATCGTCACCAGCGTTCGCCTTTGTCAAGGTCGCTGGGAAGCAGTTCAGCGTCGGCGGCAAGGCCTGGTATCCAGCCGGCACAAACGCTTTCTACGCCGCCCAGACCGACATCATGAGCAGCGCGGACGTGTACCTCATGTTCAAGGTACGTGTACGATCGTGTGCAGTATCGGCTCGGGCCACGACTCCGCCTTGCGAGATCCGGGGCTCCGTCGATGGCGATCCGGAACCCTAATTTCTCCGCGCCCTGACATACCCCTGCAGGCGCATGCGGCGCAGGGCGTCAAGGTCATCCGCGTGTTCGCCCACAGCGATGGCTACGGCTTCCCGGATAACATCAAGACTCCGAACCCCATCCAGCCCCGACTGGGCGTCTACAACGAGAACGCCCTCATGAGGTGAGAGGTGGAAGCCTTGGACTGAGGTCGTCATGAGCCCTTCATCGGCCGCCAATGCATGCCAGCCTGCATCGCCAACCTCCGCTGACAAATATCGAGCCCATTTTGGCACCCCGTCACAGGTTGGACTTGGTCATTGCTGCCGCCGCCAGCACTGGCATCCGCCTCGTCCTCGTGTTCACCAACTTCGAGCCCTTTTACGGCGGCATCCAGGTGAGTCCCCGGAACCCTCCCCAGCGTGCGTGTCAGACGTAGCTCCCGCACGACCTGCGCCAACTCGCCAACAGCAGTCCACGCACTCCTCCATCCCTTCTCATCCACAGTGGTATGTGAACGAGGCCGTCGGTCAGGGTCAGTCCAAGAACCTGTTTTACACCCATCCAAACTGCAAGTTGTACTACAAGAAGTATGTCAACATGCTCATCAATCGTCGCAACACCGTCACGGGTGAGTCCTCGGGATGGATGTCGCGATCCTTGTGTTTGCAAGTTCTGAGATGCTCCGTACCATGAGTGAATCCCATGCCCTCACCACGTCTCCATTCTGTATTTCCCAGGTGTCATCTACCGTGACGACCCCACCATCTTTGCCTGGAACCTCATGAACGAGGTGCGCAAGGTGGCGGCACGACATTGAATGCATAGTCCTAGCTAGGTTTCTACCGGTGGATTACCAGCTCCTTCACCCCTGTCCCTTTGAGCCCATCTACACGCCGTCCCCTGAAGCTCTCCTCCTCCTCTGCAGCCCCACACCACGGATAACTACGAGATCAACCAGGGCAAGAAGCCTGGGCAGATCGTGGCCGCCTGGATCTCTGAGATGGCTGCCTTTGTGAAGAGCATCGACAGCAACCACCTACTGACCACGGGTAAGACGCATGTTTTCGGTTGGATGAGGAGGGGGCTGCACTCTGTATCGGCCTGCCTGAGACTCAGCTGCAGGCTCCAGCCGCCTGGCATGCGGGCGTAGAAGTGCGCATCTGAAATAGCTACTTTGCCCTTCGATACTCCAATCAACGGCCCCCTTCCCCCCCTTGTCATTTGTAGGCGAGGAGGGCTACCGTGTGAGGGGCGACACCTCCTGCTGCACCAACAACTGGCTGAACGGTGGGGTGAAGGGCGTGGACTTTGACACCAACGTGGCCGACCGCAACATCGACTTTGCTACCGTCCACGCCTACCCCGACAACTGGGGTATTGCGGCCAGCGACTACAAGTGGTACGGCCCCAACTTCCTGGCCGACCGTGCACGCATCGCGCATGCCGCCGGCAAGCCCATTGTCATGGAGGAGTACGGCAGCCGCGAAGGTGACATGCCGGGGTGCTGAAGGTGGGGATCTGTGCATGCCTATTGACAAGTGACACTGCCATCTCTTGGGCCGCTCATAGGGTGACGGCTTACGAGATGTCTGATGAACCAGCCCCAGAATGAGCCAGGAGGGCTGCGCGGGCACTCTTACATGCCATCACTCATATCCTTGTCCCCACCTCTACCACCACAGGGTACTTGTCGTCTCGTAATGAGCTGCTCTACTACCTCCAGGTCGGTTGGCAGGGTACAGTGGGATTGGACTAGAGCCTGCCAAGTGTAGAATCGCCCTGCGTCGCACAAAGCCGCATGCGACTGCCTCATCGCCTCACCCGCGCCCCCCCACCCCCCCTCCCTACCACAGGACCAAGCCAACGCCCTGGGGTACGCCGGGTCCATGGTTTGGTCCCTGCGCCACTTGGACTCTCAGACCGGTGGGTACGTCTTCTCGTACAGCCAGGACGGCGCCGCCGCTGTCAAGGCCCAGCTCGCGTATGCCGCCCGCATCTCGGTGGGTGCAGCTGGCTGGAGAGGGCTGGGCATGCTGCAAGTGATTCCAGAGGAGACCCGAGACACCACAAGCAGTGGTCCTAGATCACCTCACAAGTGCATGACGTGCCCACGCCTGCCAGGCGTGGCACAAATGTGCCAGCTTCCCCGCATGCACAGTGCCGACCCCATCCTTCCCTTTCCCTGCTTCCACAGGGCGGGACGGCACCCACCCCCACACCCACCCCCACTCCTCCCTCCGGTGGCGATTGCTCGTCCTGCCGGGACAATGCACCGGACACCACCTACACCTGTGCCCAGCAGGCATCTTGGGGCAAGTGCAGCGAGTCGTGGATGTCGGGCTACTGCCTGCGCAGCTGCGGTAAGTGCTCCTGCACCGGTGGAGCGACGTGCAGCGATGTGGCGCCCTCTGCGGCCTACTCCTGCGCCCAGCAGGCGGCCTGGGGCAAGTGCAACGAGTCCTGGATGGCCGGCAAGTGCAACAAGTCGTGCAGGCGCTGCTGATAGGGAGGAGCGGTGGGGAGGTTTTCAGTCCCGATCTCTCTGTGTCCGTGCTTCTGTGGACCCCTGCTCACGCTGCCGGCGCAGCAATGCGCCCAGCCCCAACCTCTGGGCCCTAACTCTACACCATTTCATTGTATCTCCTTGAATTGATTTCCATACTATGGTTTTCTGCGCATCCTTGTGCCTGCACCCCAGCCCAGATGTCATCGTCGATTCCCTTGTAAACTTTCTTTCAAACGGGGACCGGAGGTCCCCGGGCGCGCACCACAGACATACGCGCTGATACCTGCCTCTGATCACCCATTTCGACACACCCATGCGTCACGTGAGACAGACAGAGGGTTTGTGCTTGCTACAGAGCGCCCAGTCCGGGACGGGATCCGCATGGATCGCTCGGAGGTGGTGCGGAGGGAGTACACCTTCGGGGACACCTCCCTGTCTATCTACTCGCGCAAGTACGCCGAGGACACCACCAAGGTATCCATCTCGATGCAGCTCACCGTGGAGCAGATATGGGTGAGCGTTGGGGATTGGCCCCGGGGCGACACGGCGGAGCGGCGTGTGGTGGTGACAGGGCCCCCGCCTGAAAAGGCCAATAGCGGGGCATGAGGGTGCAAGGGCACAGAGAGGATCAATGTCCTGCGCTATCCCATTACCCTCCACCCACACTTGACTGTCCTGTGACGGACTTTATGCATTGCGCTCTTCCTCCACTATCGCAGGACTCCTTCTGGAACTTTGGAGACGGGCCTTCCCCCCCACCCCCCATCAAGACGTGCCAGGGGTCGGAGAAGGAGGTAGCCGTGGGGAAGGAGACCGGCGCTGCTGCGCCGGCCCCAGACCTGCTGGGCCTGGACATCTGGCCCGGCGCCCTCGCCCTGTGCAACTACTTGGCCATGCACCCGAGCCTGGTGGGGTGCCGGCGGGTGCTGGAGCTGGGGGCGGGCATGGGCCTGCCGGCCCTGCTGGCCGCCAAGCTGGGCTGCTCCTCCGCCCTGCTCACAGACTACGAGCCCCTGGTGAGGCGCGCGTTGGGTGGCGGTTGTGAGCTGATGTTGCATGGCTGGGTGGCTTGGGCTGGAGAGGTGCGAGGCCACTTTTTCCTCACCTCCGTGCAGGTTCAGGCTGCACCAGCAGCTGCACCCTCGCTCGCTCATAACATCGCATTGATTAGTCTTCTCTCCTATACATCTCCCTTTTCACAATCTCCCCTCCCCTCCCCCCCAACCCCTTTTCCGTACATCAAGGTCTTGGAGCTGGCGGCCGAAAACATCCGCCTGAACGGCGTGGGCGACATCGCGGCCACGCATCGCCTGGACTGGGAGGACCCGCAGGGCACCCTGGCCCCCGGCCACCCCCACTCCTTCCACGTGGTGCTGGCGGCCGATGTGCTCTACATCTCCGACATCGTGCTGCCCTTCGTGGGCATGCTGCAAACCCTGCTGCACCCCGAAGGTGGGAGGGAGAGGTCGTCTGGCGGGCCTGGAACAGGCTCTTGGGAGGCCTGGGCAGGGGCCTCAGATGATGAGCGGCACGGTCCAAGCGCTCGAATCACGCACCCCTCCTCTCCAATCCACCCAGGCATCGCGCTGGTGGCGCACCAGACGCGGCGCCCGCTGGTGCTGGACCCCGAGACCGGCGTGCCGGGTCTGTCGCGGCGCGACGAGCCTTACGAGGCCTTCCAGGCGGCGGTGCGGGCGGCGGGCCTGGTGCCGCGCCAGCTGGGCGCGCTGGACGCCGGGGGCAGCGCTGGGCCACTCTACCTCTCAGCCCTGGCCTGGGAGCAGGCCTACATCGCGACGCTGGAGCCGGTGGCGCGACTGCGGCCTCTGAAAGGCTGACACTGGTTGTTTGCTGCCGCAGATGGACTCTGGCTGAGTGGCGCTCGCTGGGCCCCCTGGCAGCCGTCTGGCCGTCACCAGCGTGCATGGTGCACGCCTTTTGCCTTGCTTTTTCCACGTCAGCAAGTGCGGCTGCTCCTGCTGGGCTGCATGCCCTTGTCCTCGGGCAGGCAGAGGCATCAGCCCCGGACTGCGGCGCAATTGCCCGTGACCTTTTCAGGCAGGCAGACCGATCCCAGTGCATGTGATGCGGCCTCACATGGAACAAATCCTGGTTATTTATGTAATGGACCTGGCAGACGGCAGAGTCGGAGCAAGGTGGAGGAAAATTCCTGGGGCCAGCCTCGATTAATAATGTGTCTGACCGCCTCCTTCCCTGCCGCGCCTCCCCATCGCTATGGCAGCAGCATCGTGTACCTCGCCTTCTCCCCCCGGCTGAGCAAGAAGGAGTCGGTCTGCCAGCCCTCGCCTTCCAGAGCCGACAGGAAGGGCGCGAGGGCGACGCGCGCCTGCTCGGCCGCCGCGGCCACGTCACAATCCCCGGCCTCGGCAGCCGGCCGGAAGGCGCCGCGCCGGCGGAGCAGGGCGGCCTGGACCACTGCCTGCAGTGCATCCCGGGCCGAGGCGTCGCTGCGCAGAGCCACGTGGATTGACCCCGGGCCCGCCAGACGCAGGCTCAGCCAGGCGGCGAGAGGGGAGGAGGGGGCGCCGGCGGCGGGGGGCCGCACCGACAGCCAGTATCGGCTCCTCCTGCAGGAGTTGGAGTGGGTTCAGGGTTGAGTGGGGCATGTGCATGGGAGTGCGGGGAGCAGCCAACCCGCGGAGTTGCCTCACAACAACGACCGGACCCCGCTCATCAAGCCCAAGGCCTTTGGGCCCCATGCCGCCCACGCAGGGTACCCTCGCACGCTCTCGATGGCACTCACCGCCCCTCCTTCCCCAGCAGGGCCTCCAGCTCGCTGCTGGAGCGTATGCACGACTCCAGGCCCCCAATCTCCAGCGGCAGGGGCCCGCAGTCGATGGCCGGCGCAAACAGCAGCCGCTCCGCCCTGCTGACCTGTGCGTTTGGAGGATGAGGGAGGTGCGCTGTATAATTGTGGCTCCAGCGGGGCAAGGGACCTCTTGCACCATGGACGCCGAGATTGAAGCTGGAGAAGTTTGGGGGATGCATTCAGCCTCAAGCCGGCACGCTCCTTGCACATTCTATTCTCCCCGCCACTGGCACCTGCTGGGGGGTCAGGATCATGGCATGGTCCAGCCAGCTGGCCGCCAGGATCTCGGCTCGCTCCCTGTTCAGGCTGCGGAGGTGGATGGATCGCATCTCCCTGCGGATGGGGGAGAAGAGGGTGGGTGATATCGCTGCAAAGGGTTTGCTTCAACTGAGTGGCAGCAGTGATCCTCACATTGACAAGACCGGGGCCCAGAGCCTCCCTACCAACGAGACCATTTCCCTCTTCCAGAGCCCCTGCCACCCAGCAGCGCTCGATAACACACGCACTGGTAGATGGAAGTCAAGTCCCCGATGACCAGCAGGGGGAACATGACCAGGGGGAGCGCGCTCCTGGCCGGCTCTGAGGCGCGCACCGCGTGCGTCAGCAGCACCGCCACCGCCAGCCCGAGGTTGTCTAGCACCATCTGCTGGCCCTGGAAAGATGTAGGGGAGGGACACGGGACGGGGTTTGAACGCTGACCAAAGGGGAAGGATTCCTGCCTAGTGCCTCGAGACGTCTGGGCGTGTCGAGACACTGGAAAGGTGAGGTCAAGCACCCAGCATCCCCAGACACCCAGGACCCTCCACGCCAGCCGTCGCCACACGATCCCCACCTGACTCTTGGCCGAGATGTCGGCCAGGTTCTGTCCTCGCGCAAAGCTCTTGTGGAATGCAGGCTGCCATTGTGGGCGGGCGGCGGAGAGCCAGTGAGTCGAGCAGCCCCACAGTTTGCTTTCTCGTGTGCGGGCAGATGCACCATCATCAAACCTGTGGGCCGCTGATTGCAACAAACCTCCTCAAAATCTCCCACCTGGGTGGCCACATAGGTGGCCAGTCCGACGCTCTTCCCCACGTTGGCGAGGGAGGCCAGGGGCAGGAAGGCGGAGGGGGCGAGGGGGGTGGCGTACTCCAGGGCCAGCGCCAGGCAGTACAGGATGGACGTCCCAAACCGGAATCTCTGAGGCAAGACGTGGAGAGGGTAGGCGCGTTTGAGGTGTGAGCGCTCTCTTCACGCTCGCCGTGCATGTTGGAGTGAGACTGGAAGTTGAGAGGGGATCCACGATTGGCTCCAAGCCAGGGTTGCGGTGGTACAGGTACCTCCACGCCTGCGACCCTGCCCACGCCGACACTTACTCCATTAACTATCCCGTGCCTGCCCCGCACACCTTGAGGTCAGCATCAAAGGAGGCGCCGTACTGTGTGGCCACGGAGAGGCGGCCCAGCCGTCCCAGCCCGTCCTTGAGAACCCAGTTGATGGTGGCCGCCGCCGGCAGGCTGCGCTGCGCCCCGATGCCGACGGCTTGGAGCAAGGACTGAAGGCGCGGAGAGCGAGTGAAGGTCGGTGAGGATGCAGGTGGGGCAGGCCTCGGAGCAGGCGTGGGCGTGCCGTCCCAGCCTCGGCACCTACAGCTGGGCCTGTGGAACCCAGCAACAGCCACTGTGCCCCTGCGTCAGCCACTCACCTGCGTCGCAAAGACCGAGTTCATGCTGCTGAAGAAGCGGTGCACAGCCCTCCACTTTGCATAGGTCCAGTAGTCTGGACAAGCGCGGAGCCGGAGGGAGGGAGGGAGGGGGGTAATGGGAGGGAAATGTCATACTCCAGAAGGCCATTGCCCCATCACTCAAGCAAGCAGCCCCAGCTGCTTCACCTGGGTAGACTTCGTCACGGTGTGGGAAGAAGGCGTGTCGTATTTCATGCTTTGCCCACTCAAAGGGGTGTCGGAGCAGGACGTCGACGCGGCTGCGTGGTGAGGAGTCCCCCTTCCCACCCACCAGCGCGTCTGCGTCCACCGTGGACAGGCCGGAGGCCGTCCACACATACCGCTTCCGCCGCCCTCCTGATGCAGTGGTTGATAGGGAAGTGATGGATGGGACATAGCTTCGTATAAACACAGCATGACGCCGCCGACACACACTATCCATCGTACCAATCGTCACTGCAATAGGAACCGGCGTGTACTCTGGAGTTTCCCTGTGCTGAATGGCTGCCCCAGAGATGCTGCCGAGGAGACAGGTCTTCAGGGACGCGGGGGTGTCGGCCAGAACAAAGTCGAGCTCAGGTCCAGTGCATGGCCTACATCTCATGATAATATCGTATATAATCACTCTAGGGGCCTCGTCGTGGTGTGCATGTCACCTGGCGAGTATCCTCCGTCGAGAGTTGTTGTGTAAAGCAGGTGACCCCTCGCGCCTCAGCGTTACCGCTCAACTCGAGGGTCATTTATATCAACAAAGAAGTGCATGGCAACTAGGAAAGTGCACGTGCACCATCGCCCAAATGCATATACGTCGATGTGCATGGCACCGGGGGAGTCATCGCGCGCCCTGGTGTTCTCCGGTATATTTCCCAAGAGCTGACGTGGTTCCGGGGGTCTGAGTCTCGTTGATTTTATAAAGCTGCGAGGTGAAGGATCCAACCCTGAGTTTCGTCATCGATCTTCTAATTATGGCGTGCCCCGAGGCCGCCGTCCAATTCCTAAAGTTCAACTGCAGCCAGAAGGACGGAGCAGAGAACTTGCAATTCGACACCCTTGCGCTCCATGGCATCTACGGATTTTCTGCTGACGATGGCACCGCGACTTGCTACCTCGACGTTGTAGACGAACTACAAAATAGATATGGCACCCTCCATGGTGGCTGCATAGGTAAGGTATGGTTGAGTGTCGTGCCATTGGCTTCTCTGTTGATTCAGGCGACACTTTACAAGAGCCAGTCCCTGCTCGGAGCACACCTGTACTCAGTGCCCTACTCGTTGCCCTCACAGCAACACTTGTCGATGTTGTGGGCTCTGCTGCCCTGCTCACCAAGATCGAAAAGTCAGGGGTGAGCCTCAATATCTCTGTCAACTACCTGCGGCCCGGCAAGGGGGGCAGCACAGTCAAGATTGTGGGTGAGGTCGTGAAGATTGGCCGAACTGTGTGTTCCATCGAGGTGGCCATCACAGAGAAGGATAGCGGGCGCCTCATTGCAAAGGGGACTCATGTCAAGGTGAGACTGCCATTGATATTGGACTGTAGTGTGTGCAGTTTTGTGGAGCAAAGCAGGAGACCGCTTGATCAGACCCAAACCTTGTGCTTATTGGTAAGGAAAATGAAGGAGGCGAATCCTTTGCTCTGGAAGGGATTGCGGATCTCTGTGCAATTTACATCTGAACCCCAACCACACGTGCAGCACATTTTGGAGGCCGAACCGCCTTTCCCGAGGTTGGACTCAGTAGCAGAGGAGCTGACCCATCGCCGGAACGCAGTGCGGAACAAGACCCAAAAATCTAGGCTGTAAAGCTATATTCATATTTAATGTAGACCTTTTGGGGATGCTCGGAGGCGCACAATTGAGCAAGCAGCCTGTCCCTCGCTCGCTCGCTCTGGAGGTGGGCTGATCTGGCGATTGCAAATCGAGGCGCGAGGGCATAAGGCAGAATCACACGATACACATAAAAGTATTTGTTTTATGAAGACGTAAACATTTCGTTCGACCAATCATCCACCCTCGAATTCTAATCTTTGTCACAGCCTCCACTGGCACCACCCCGGCAGAATGTCCGGGGTGCCTGACTATCAACGCTTCGCAGAGCGCTTCCTTGATCTCAGCTCCAACCAGCGGGACAGTGATGGGGGGCCATCCATGTTTGACAGTGCAGCGATGCCAGGTCTATACGACATCCAAGCTGGGCCTGGGCACATCAAGTGCTACATGAAAGTTGGCAAGACGCACGTCAATTTTATGGGCAACCTCCACGGCGGTTGCACAGGTGATTTGGGCCAGGCATGGGCTGCTGTAGGTTGTTCTGCCAAGGAGATACGGGCTTTGGTCATTGTTTGAAGTGGCCTGTGAATGGCAGAGATGAGTTTGGTCACCATTTTGGCATGATGCGGTGTGGAGCACCCCCTTCCCCCTAGCATTGCCTTCAATCTCACAGTAGTGCCATCTATGTCTCACTGCAGGCTCTCTTGTAGATTTGGTGGGGTCAGCGGCCTTGGCAACCTTGGGGACCACCCCTCATGTGAGCATCAGCATCACTACAAACTACCTGCGACCGGCTCCAATCGGCACCATCATCAGGATAGAATCCAGCGTGAGTGCTGTGGCAGAGCAGGATCATGAGTTCTTGGACACCCGCCCAGTCTCTGCATACAGGCTTGAGCCAGAGCCGCTGCATGACCCAAAAACTTTGAGTCACTGCAGGTGATCAAGCCTGGGGCATCTGTCAACACCATGATTGTCCACATCTACGATGACGCCAGTAACAAGATGGTGGCCCAAGGCACACACATCAAGGTATCGGCAGGGGATGCCTGGGTATCCTGTGATGGTGTCAGGCGCACACGGTGGAAGGCCTCCATGTTCTTCTGTTCTCATCTCATCTCCCAAGATTCCATTTCATGCCACACGTATTTTTCCTGAGCAGATGATGATGCACAAGCAACAGATGCCTGGGGAGTATAGCGCTCCCAAAAACGAGGACACTCAGACGTCCCGGTTGTGAGGCAGGCCTCTCGGCAGGTTGCTGAGGCAACGACACCGGCGTGACAGCTGCATTTTGTACCAATGCCATGAATGATGACGCCCGGTGCGAAATATTGATACTGATGCAGAATCGTGTCTCTCCATGCTTGCACAGGAAGGTATTAGGAATGATCCCTTGCTGGTTAAGTTTCTGCCTGCCTACACAGGGTAAAAGTTACCCGTTAACACCAGCCGGGCATGGATGCCGCTTCTGTTGGCGAGCATGAATTGGTCCTCAAGGACTCCTGCAGACTGGAAACAAATGCTGGCAATCTTCTGATGCTTTGCCTGGCACCATGCAGCATCGGCGCAGGGAAGTTGACATGCAGGCTCGCTTTCCGGCCCTACCCCTGCCTGACCCGCCGTTTCTTCAGTCACCTGATGTCTGGCGGATCACAGGTTCGGGCACCATGCTCCCCGAATGCATCTGATCACAGCAGCTCTGCATGGAGGCGCCCCCTGGCGGCTGACACATGGAAACGGCTGCCTCGAGTCGATTCCACGCCGCGCACCCCAGGCTCGGCCAGCCCCAGGCTCAGACTCATGCCCCGCCTCAGCCATCCTTGCGGCCATGCTCCTCTGCGGCGGCCAGCGTGCTGGCGGGGGGAATGAGTCGCAGGAGCGGCAGGGGCGCCAGCGTGCACAGCGTGACAAAGGTCACGAGCTGTGGCAGGTGGCCGAAGTCGTCGGATGTCACCCCGAAGACTGTGGTGAGGGCGGAGCCCAGGGCCTGGCCGGTGAAGCCCCCCGCATTCAGCACGCTCATCAGCGTGGCGAAGAGCGTCGCCTCCACGCCCTGAGGAGGGGGAGGAGGAAAGGGAGGGACAGGTGGTTGGGTTTGTGGAAGTCTCCGTGGGAAACCATGCGACAAAGGGCGGGGGAGGGGAAGGGTCTGGGCCAATAGCACCCCAAAACACATTACTAGGATGAGGTTCACTCATGATCCCCCCACTCCCCCCTCTTTCCTGTCCCGCTCTGTGCCACCCAGCCCCACCTCTGGGCAGAGGCGGGAGGCGAGGACCAGGACCGGCATGAACGACACCTGGCCCAGCACCGTGAGCAGGGTCGTGTCGGCCAGGGCGAAGACCTCGTTGCTAATCCCGAACCGCAGGTTGGTGCCTGGTGGAGGGTGTGGTGCGGTGCTGGGGAAGTTGGTGGGGCATGGCACGGCACGCAGGGGCATGACAGAGTGCATTTCCGGCATGCGCAGTCACAGACACACACCCACACACCAGCGCACCTGTGATGAGGATGAGCTGGGTGAAGCCCAGCCCGGTGCCCAGCAGGGCGGTCCACAGGAAGATGGTGCGCAGGGGCGTGGCCTTGAGGCCGTAGTTGTAGACCCCCACGCCGGCCAGGGAGGCCAGGGCCCCGACCAGCCGGATCTGCCCCAGATACTCGGTGCTAAATCCCAGCTGCTTGGTCTGGAAAAAGGTCATCACGGTCTCCACCGTGGGCGTGGCCTGGGAGGGGGGGGGAGGGAAAGGGGGGGGGGGGGAGGCCGCAAACGGGAGTGAGAGCTGAAGTAGGTGCTGAGGGTTATGGCAAGGATGCCAGCTGCAAGGACCAAAGCAGCAGGCAGGCGAGGGGGTGCCTCGACCGCCCCGCCACTCCAGCGACTTGGGCGGCGCAAGGCATGGGCCGGAGGCGCAGAGCCCCTCTGGTCTATGCACTTCGAGACCCCTCCACCCTCACCCCTCGGGCCCCTCAGATCGGCCCACCCCACCTGCCAGGAGAAGACAAAGAGGGTGGGCAGGTAGATGGCGGGGTGCCTCACCGCAGCCCACAGCGCCCGGGCCTGCACCGCTGCGCTTTCCTGGGCCTGGGCCAGGGTCTGCTTGCCCTCCGGCAGCACCCGCGGCTCAGGGATGGCGGCCGCAGCGGCCGATACAAGGAGCGGGAACAGGGCCGTGACTGCAAACACGGTCCGCGGCCCGTGGTCGTGCACGAGGGAGCCCGAGAAGTAGGCGCTGGCCACGCTGCCGGCCGCGGCGGAGCCCCAGCACAGCGACTGCAGGCTGCCGGCCTTGCTCTGCGGTGAGTTTGAGGAGGGTTTGAGGGTATGGAGGTGGCGCTGGGCAGGCACGCGTCACCCTCGGCGCCTCCAGCACGCGGCGATCTCGCAAGACCGGGGATGGCCAGTCTAGCAACGCGCCTGTGCCTCCCCGCGGCACAGCTGCACGACGATGGAGTCGGCCACCACGTCGGCACAGGCAGTGGAGAAGGAGCCCAGAACCAGGAGCGTGACGGTCGCCCAGACGCCCGGCGAGGTCCAGGCCAGCGCCAGCCAGCACACGCAGTTGAGCAGCCCGCACAGAACCTTGGAGTATGAAGGAGGGATCACTTGAGTCTCTCGGGCATGGACAGGAGGGCGGGGCAGGCAGAAGCCATTGTTCGACCCCGACTGCATGATACAGAGGCGTATGAACCATCCCAGGACCTACCACTACGGCCCCAGCGTTCTTAAACAGTCTAGCAAGCTCCTGTTGTATGCCATCCCCTCTCAACATCACCCTAGCTCACGAGATAGGACCGCCGGCGGTAGCCAAAGAGGGGCACCGTGTCACTCAGGAATCCATACAGGGGCTTGATCATCTATTTGGTGGGGACGGGAGACTAGTCATTGATGTGGGAAAGGGGTGGGGGACCTCCCGCAGTATCTGCAAGCAATCCGAGGACCACTTGCGGCCTGAGCACACTCCGCACCCATGGGAGGTAGCTGAGACTGGTGTAGAAGGCCACGGCTGCGGGGTCCAGGCCCAGGTCGTCCTTGAAGTGGACGAATACTGCGAGGCGGGAGAGGCCAAGTAGACCCTGTACCAGGTATACTGCGGCGAGCGAGTGGGGTGGGGGTGGTTTGGGGTGGGGTGAGCAACCCGACCAGCATTGGGACCCCACTCAAGGACCTCCTGCATGACCAGGCACGGCAGCATGGATGCCAGAGCCGCTCCTTTGTGATCAAATATCACCCACCCACCGATGGAGACTGCGACAAGCTCAGGCCGAATTCCCGTGGCTGCACCGGCGGAAGGTTGCCCGCCTGCCTTGGGCGAGACACCCATCTCCCCGGATTCGAGGAGGGAGCCGATCTCGGAGTCTGTTCTGCCTGGGCCTCGGTTCCCTGCTTGCATGCGGTGCCTGTTCAGGCTCGAGCTGGACGGGCGCATGTGCCCATGGCGCGGCGAGCCGTGCCTCAAACCCGCCGGAAGATGGTTGCTGAGGCCGCTGTCCCTCTGGCACGCAGCAGAACTAGCGGGGCAGAGTCCAGTCCGTGGCGGAGAAACTGCCTTCATGCAATCATGGCAATGTTAGAGCAGCTCACGAGCCGCATCGCGGTGCCTACTCGCTCTTGGAGGGCTGGCAAGCGAGTGCGCAGGTCTTCATATTCGCAGAGGCGCGCGCGCGCAGATGGGCCTGAGCATGGCAGCACGAGCCACGACAGTGCAATAGCCCATTGGATTGCCTGACAGGGGTAACGCAGCTGTTTCCATACCAATGATATGATTTCAAGAGAAAAGTAGAGTTGTGCCTGCTGCTGGACGTTGGCCGGCAAGTGCGCTGTCGGCGAGGGCAGGTCTAGGCGCATATACGAGAGTCGCGGCTGTGGACGATATACAGGAATGGCGCCTAAGAGACCCGCAAGCTCGACACGTGGTCCAAATGCCAAGAAATGCAAAAAGGCAAGTTGCATGCAAGGGTCGTTTGTGGGTGCTCCAGCTCATGGCAGCAGCAGCCGATCGCCGCATTTGCACCCCTGGCCAGTGCAGGTCTATGTAGTCCCCCTGCCTCCCTCTGCCGTGGATGAGGGGGATGGCATCAGCGACTTGAGTGATGAGGACCTGGAGTTCGTGGCGAGCCAGGGCAAAAACCTGGGCTTCCTGACTTCCCTTAAGACCAAGCAGCTCGACAGGTGTGGGGTTGATTGGCAGAACGGGAAGGCCTGGTGCTTGTCCCAGCCTCTTGGCCATACTGCAATCCACGCGATCGTGCTGCAGCGCTGTGTGTATTAAATCCTTCGATGCAGGCTGCCTGCCAGGAACATACTACATGTACTGGTGCCATCTCCTGATCCCCGAATCATGCATCCCGCCCTCCCTACGGCCTCCAGGTCGGTGTCACAGACCCAGCAGAAGCCAGCCGCCCAGAAGAAGGCTGTGCCGCAGGCCCAGACTCGGCCTGCTCCAGCCGATGCCTCAGATTCTGAGGCATCAGAAGGGCTGCCCGGCACCGACTCAGACTCCGAGGCTGAGGCCTACGAGCGGCGGCCCAGGACCGTCTCCCAGGCCCCAGTGGAGCAGAAGAGAGCCGCCGCCCTACCCACCAAGTCTCTGGATGGGGCGCTGGTTCGTGGTGAGGTCGAGACGGCGCCCCGAGCGGCGGACCGGCTCTGGGTCCCCGGCGTGACCATCGAGGATGACCTGGCGCTGGAACAGGAGGCGGCAGAGGAGGAGGAGGGAGAGGAGGACGACGAGGCACCCGCCGTGGAGGCCCCACCCAAGCGGGAGACTGGCAAGGGGAAGCGACAGAAAGATGCAAAAGCAGGGCTCGGTGAGGAGGGGCGTGTGTGTGGGTGTGCAGGTGATCCCATCGGTCCTGGCATGGGCCGGTGTTGCTCTGTTTTTGAGTGTTGGAACTGTCCTTGAGGTTTTGCAGGGGTTTGGCAGCCTGTGCTTACGACAGGCGCTACAGCACTCTAGGTGCCAGATCCCTGGCCATACCATGTCCAAGCTGCTCCTGTGGTCCCTTCTCACCTGCTCGCCCATGCCGCTGCTCGCCGCCTTCCGACCCCATGCTGCCGCCGCTGCCGCCCTCTGCGCAGGTGCCCGCGGTGCCCGAGGCGGCAGGGCCGGTCCCCCAGCCCCCGCAGACACCCCCGCCTCCCGCCTGGCGGCGGCCAAGGAGACCCTGGCCCTGGCGGCCCAGACCTTCCTGGGCTCCCCCGAACGCCACCTGGCCCAGCTGCACGAGATCGTGGCGCTTTGCTCCGCCAAGGACCCGCTGGTGGCGCGACTGGCGCTGGTCACCGCCGCCGCGGTCCTGGCCGACGTCGTGCCCGGCTACCGCATCCGCCCGCCCACCGAGCGCGAGCTGGAGGTGGTGGTGTCCCGCGAGGTGCAGGCCCTGCGCGACTACGAGCAGGGCCTGCTGCGGCAGTACCAGCGGTACCTGCGCGCCGCGCGCGCCGCGCTGGCGGCGGGGCGCGCGGGCGGCGCGGCGCTGCCGCACGCGCGCGTCGCCGCACGCTGCATGGGCCGTCTGCTGGTCGCCGCGCCGCACTTCAACTACACCACCGACCTGCTCCAGGCGCTGGTGCCGGTGGCCACCTCGCGCGATCCGGAGCTCAGGTTCGTTCCAGGGGGGCGTTTCCGGTGCTTGGGGGCTGCAAGGGACCGACTGCCAGTCTCGACGGCAGTTCCCCTGCACAGCACCGGTCCATTCCAGCTGGATCCGGCTGCCACCTGCCTCATACACCCCATCCGCTCAGCTCAACCCCTGCCCTCCCACCCAGGCGCATCGTGGTGGACGCCCTGCGCTCCCTGCTGAGCAGCCAGAGCGCCGACGGCGGCGTGGTCACCGAGGCGGTCCAGCTGCTGGCGGACCTGGTGAAGGCTCGCTCCTGCGTCTGCCCGCCCGAGGTCGTGGCGGTGCTGGCCTCCGTTCACACCGCCGACATCACCAGCGCCAAGGACTTCCAGGGTGGGGAGGCGGGGTGGGTTGTGTGGGGGAGTTTGGGGGCGAGGGCCTTGGGGCCACACGCGAATGTCGACGAGTGAGGACGAGTGTTGAGCCATGTCTCCTCGAATGCAGTGCTGACGTGAGGGGAGCTGCATGCCCTGCATACGTCCTGCCTGGCCTGCCCTGCTCGGTCCGCCCCTGT